CGTAAATACAAATGATAAGGCGCAGCCGCAGTAACTGTCTACACTAGTACTAGCCCAGCCGCACCGGCAATTTTTGCACAGTCACGTGATCTATTTTTAATTCATCACATCGTCACGCCCGAGCCTTGTTTCACTGTTTATAATTATCTGAGGGACTTAGTTTTTTTCGAGTGAGTAAAAACTTATTCGTCACGCCTTTATTCGTCACTTTGTTTTCACGTGTTAGTGCATAACGCCGTAATGCGGCCCTGTTTGCAAAATTTGCCGGTTCACATATGCTGCGCCACTGGATACATTTATATATACATATAACAATTACGTATGGTTAGTGTACATACGTACAAAAAATATGTTTGTCATGTCGTACAATCACAAAATCAACGTATAGTGCACATCACTATACACTACATACATAGGTGTCTATACATAACATCTTTTCTATATAATCTCTAATGGCCGAATTAAAACTTCGTCAAGACGTTACTCCCCTCGACAGGGTATATGAGGCAACGAAGACCATTTATTTTTACTGTTACATAGCTGCCGGGTTTTGTTTGACAAAGATAATTTCAAACTAAACTTGTCGAGAGTCGAAATGGGCAAGGAGACCTTAATTATGCAGTAGAATGTCGTTCGACTGATAAGATCCTTGGCGTAATCGAAGTTAAGAAAGAAGATTTTATGAAGGGGCTCGCCCAGGTGTCCGTGCAGATAGAGTCAACTTGACACGTAAACGCAAAGCCGATGAAATCAATAATGGCCAGAATGTGGATAGGGTGTTTGGAATTGTCACCGATACTTTATGGAATGTTCGCTAGATAACGAGGGGAAGCCATCGTTTAAACTATCGGAACAAGTGACCGTTGTGTACAATGACGAAAATTTGCAAGATAAGGTGGAAAAAGTTATTACATTAATTCCTATTTAAATTTTAGAGTCCTCGGATATATCGTATGGTTGTTAGAGGAGACACAGAAATTAAGAGGGCGAGGTCAACAAGCAATCAAACTTGCTGGAAAGTCAGTTAGTTTAGATAAGTCTTAGCATAAAAAGTTCTTTATGTCCTGAACCTTTCGCATGTATTACGGTCAACGTCCCGATATGTATTTATTTTTTATCTCTGTATTAAAAAAGCAAGTCTTTGCATTCGCAAAATAATATTGAGTATTTCTCTCATGAATAAAAAGTACTACTAATTATGTTGATTTAATGAGGCCAATCGGCCAGCCATTAACCCGGTGAGATAAACACGTGATTTTTAATTCATGAGTCAACTTATTTGCAATGACTCGTGTTTGAAAAAATAATTCCGTAATACACGTGAAAACGTGAAAACGCTCAATTATAATAAGCACTTCCGAAATGTGTGACAGGTTATGTATATTATTATTATATATTTAATTGATAAGATACTAATATATACACGATTACTCATTACATGCAAATTTATATTCAAATAATATTTACGCGTCCTGGTCATGTGAGTTCGATTCATTACAAATCAGAATAATTGTACGAGTTCGTGTTACATCAAAATCTATTAAAAACCACAAAATGACATCACATCACTACTCAAACTTTTAAACTTAAGAAATCTAAATATGTCAGAGTCTCAATTTCCACGGTCTCTTTTTCCTCAATTTACGGAAAAAGATTTTAAAAAAGCAAGTGAGAATTTTAAGAGTTACGTGAACTGGACGGAATACAATAAGTGGGTTGAAGCCGGAAGTCCGTATGAAGAGCACGACGAAATACTTATGAATCTGAATCTCGAACATAATGAATCTTCTCAAACAAGATCAACTGGTAAGTCTATTCTACTATTTCATTTTCATGTATATGTTTGGTCATATAGTCAAACTTATAAAATTCTTTTTTAAGGAACCCGACGATATGTTAACGGAAGAAGAGAATACAGAAATGGAATTTACCCTAACGGAAATTCCAGGAAGACAAATCATAAAGCCGGGAAAACAAGCAATGCAACTCCTTCCAATGAAGGAGCCAAAACCGCCGCTTGTAAGAAAAGTGAACATTGTAATCAAGGCTCTGGACCAAACAACGTTCCCAACACTAACAGGGTACACAAATCAAATGCTCCTAGATCTACAAAAGGATAATATTCTTAATACAGTGATCGGCCGGGATGTTATTGGAGTAGTTAGGGAGTTTAAATTTAATAAAACAAGTGATCGAATGGAGTTAATTGGATCGAATACTGACGCATTTGACATCGTACCTAAGGAACTATACATGTACACTATGATCTTGCCACGTAATCATTATTTGATGTTAAGACATATAGAAGGAAGATGGTTTAGGGCCTTAGCTTATTTTTCTAATCATGATTCCCTATGCACATTTTCTTAACGTATTCTTTACTAATATTTCTAACAAACTATAAAGAATTATAATATTTTTTATTTATCATAGCGCAGTATATATAATTTTTTTATACAAATAATAAACTAAAGACTCGTTTTTACTTTGCTATATATTTTATCGTGACGTATACACATATTTAGTTTATTTTTTATTTCCACGAATTCATTGAATTACACGAATTCCTATCATTCTGTTTTTTTTCCTTATTTACTTTGTGAACGTAATAAAATCTAATAAAATTGATAAACTCATATTTTTTATCATTACCGAATTTATAGAATTCCTTGATTCTAAGAATACATATAGTTCTCTGAATTCTAAGATTTTTTTCTCATGTGTATAGTATAGGATATCTGTTGTTGAGTACTATTCGGATAAATAAGTAACTCGTTATTTCCATCTTTCCACACATACTACGCAATACAACTTAACCAGCTTCCACGTTCTATTAAAAATGATTTGTGGCGACGTCTCACAACTCGGAAATATCCGAGAAGAGGCGAGTAGTATTCATCCTGGAGTGGAAGAACTGTTGAATCAGGAGGTAGCTAATTACGCAAAGAAAAAGGATTGTCAGCGACTGAAAACAACAGCAAATAAGATCCCAGGTGGGATTGATACTTTTAACAGGTTAGTTTTTTTCGAACAGTCTCTTTCTGAAATCTGAACGAGCGAAGAAATTGTAACAAGCAAAATTAGAAATTCAGAAAACAATAACCAATCAAGTTAAAATGGAAAACGATGCTTATCTTAGTGCTGAATCTCAACATTTGCAAGATGAACATGAAAAATTTGTATATGACATACGTTCATTAAAGAAAAAATTGGAGGATCGATATAATACAAAATGCAACGCATTGCATCTTATGAAGCCGCCATGAGCAAATCCATAGAAGAAGTAAGAAAAACTCTTACATTTGCGGAAAAGTCTATTGCTATATTAGAAAGCAACAATCGGAGATATTATCTCCGCAAATTATTACTCTCTTCGATTTATTTATTACTTTCGTTTCTAATCAAGCAAATGATAGTACTATAGAACCGAAAAAATATAGCACTGTGAGATAGATGGAACAATTTGCGAAGTGATATTGAGACTGACCCAACCCAGAGATTCGAAAAAAATATACTTTCCGAAGAAAAATGGAAGATAATCGTTCCTACAATAATGAATTAGAAAATTACATGAAGCCGCTATTAAAGCAACTTGCCGACCATAGAGATTATTTTTCATTGTCTGAAGGGTGCTTTCTGGAGGTACTTAGTTTAACTAATTTATTGTTGCGAGGCATTTTCTGGCCTTGACCCTTCGAAGAAATAGCTCTGCTCTGCTGAAATAAGTCTCGCGTTTCTTTAGCAATAATTAGACCATATTCAAGAGCTAGTTTAAGTTCTTTCACACGCAAGCTCTGCTCAAAACATTCTAAGCATTTTTTTTTTTTTTAAGTTTTGTTCACGAAGTGACTTTATTCTCCCTAGTAATCGCTTCTCTTTGGACTTTGTGAATCGAAAGAAGGATAGTTATGATCTTGCTATTATAATTTACTGTGAACTCGCCCTTCAATATAGGTTCCCATCCAGTCTGATGTTGCCAAGGTACGCCCAATATTAATATTGATTTGCCTTTTCCGTTCCTATTCTTTTCTGTTTCAACAACCAGAAAATCATCTCTAATTGTTATAAATATTTATGATATGATGCAACGTACAACCATTCAAGTTGCTTTCGCTTATAAATTTGGTGTATGTTATTAATGTCCTAATTTAAAAGGATAACATATTTATACATATTTATTTAAACGTCGCTATCTATCGCCTCGCTAAATATCCTGTGGGTTTAATTTTAAAAAAATATTTCATCTATTCGTCTAACAATTCCAAACGATTACGTCGTATATTATTCCTCCAAAATCTTATAATTGTCATTGTTTGACACGTTCAGCATGATCCTAAAATTTGGAAAATTTTAAATCAATTTGTCCCTGAAAGATTTTTAAACGGTGAAAAGAGACACTCGGATTCCTTTCAGTGGCGATCCAAGAAATTGGCATGTAATCAAATCGTATTTCTTACTAAAAATGTAAAATCGTATAAGATTCTAAATGAACTTTACATATTATATAGTGCCGGTCAAAACTTCTCATATATATAATGCCGGTCAAAATTCTTCTTTAATGGAACAAAGGGTTCTTTTATCCATGATACGTAAGTAAGTTTTTAAAGATCCATTTTTTTTTATTTTTTAAAAATATTTATATCATTTTATTTTTATATTTCATTAATTATTCATATAATAGTAGTTAAAACGTTTGCCGTGCCGTAGTTATAAATATTTATATCAAAAACTAGGAGTAACCCGTCGCGCTGCGCCGGGAATAAAACTTGCCCATCAAGTCAAAAAAAGTAAAAATGATATGGCTATATTTTAGAAATAGGCTTAATATTTTAATAATATTAATTACAGTATGATAAGGTTAGAAGAAAATCTAATAAATTTATATAATTTACATATTTATACTAATAAAGGTGAATTGTGTATGAATGTTATATAACTGGAAATTGACATTGATTCAAAGTAAAGTCTCGTCACTTTCACCTCATATTACTTCTCATTATTCGTCTCCCATTATTTTCTATTACATCTTTTCATTTTCCATTATTTCTTTTTCTCTCCTGTTTACTTCCCATCATTTCCTTTTGTCTCTCATCGCTTCCTTTTGTCTCTCATCACTTCTTTTCGTTTCCCATAACTCCTTTTTGTCTTCCATCACTCCTTTTCGTCTCTCATCACTCCTTTTCGTCTCCCATCACTCCTCTTCTCTCCCATCACTCCTTTTCATCTTCCATCACTCCTTTTTGTCTCCTATCACTCCTCTTCATCTCCCAACTCCTCTTCGTCTCCCATCACTCCTCTTCATCACCCATCACTTCTCTTCATCTTCCCATCACTTCTTTTCGTCTCCCATCACTCTTTTTCATCATCCATCATGCCCTATTTTTCCTTTTTATTTTCTATCACTTCTCATTACTCTCTTTTACTCCATTTCTTCTTCTATTACTTTCCATTACTCCATTGTTATTTCATTTTTTTTTATTAGCATCTTTCTCCTTGATCATTGTAATTTACTTATCTTTTTATTTATTGTTATTGTTTTTTTATTTGTATCACTTAATTAAAAATAAATACAGTGATTTTTTTCTTTAAAATCAAAAATGTAGGACTTAAGTTTTAATATTTGCAAATAAAATTTCATTATATAAGATTATTTTGAATAAATATGTTTGCAAAAAAATTTTTTAAAAATATCTTCGCAATAAAATTTTGACCGATCAAAATTAGCTGTTTGTTTTAGTACCTTATATATGGGGAGTAACGTAAATAGACCTAAAATAGTAATTTTACGATTATTTTTAATTTGCAACAAATAAATTCATATGTTTGCCGATCAAATAAATAGCCTTAACTTTTAAGTTTAAATCAGGCACTGAATCATGTGAAACACAAATAACACAATTCAAAGATTATTTATACAGGCTAATCTAAACGTTAGAAGTATTTTTTTATTATATTATAAGAATATAGATATAGATTATATAGATATAGATGTAGATTTTAATAGATTTTACGTTAATTATTCATAATATAAATAAGTTTAATCTAACTTTATTTTAATAGTAAATCAATAGCCATCTATTATTAAGAAGTCGTGAAAAATCTTAATAAACGAACGTTGCTTATTACAGTAATATGCTGCGCCACAACTACAACTTCGTTCAACTTTCAATTTATTTGATCCTTTAGTATTCTTTGTTGTATCCCTCCTTAGAATTCTATAGTTTGAAACATGCCGCTATATCATAATTGCAAGAAATTATTTGGTTTATGTTTTATTACTTTTGGAATAAATTTAATAATATTATTTATTTATCTAAGCAATTTATATAAATATTTTAAAATTTTATTTTATTAGAAATAAATTTATTATTTTTTTTTTTTATTCACAATATTTTGAGCACAAAAAATTTATTGAGTTACTATATTTTAGAAACATTTACGTCATTAGCCAAAAAAAGTTTAATACTATATTTATTTTTTCTGGAAACAATAAAAAGAGAAAACAAATTAATTATCAATAAAACGTTTATTTTATATAAAAAAAAGATGTTAAAATAAAAATTTTAATTTTCTGGTTTCATTATAATTTTTTTACCAACAGTTGAAATTTCCTAATTACTTTAAAGGTTAAATAATTGAATTATACTTCCATTTATTTAATGATTAAATAACTTCTTAGTTGAATCATAATAATTCAATCGTAAATGAATATCACTATCAATAACAGAATGCATTAAAAGATAATAAATAATTTCTAGATTAAAAAATCTTATAATAAATAATTTTCACTTGTAGTTGCTTTTTGTGTAACAATATTTTTTATTTTTGTGATCATCGGCTGATTTAAAATCATGCAACATATAAAGGCGTAACAATATTTTTATTTTTGTGATCATCAGCTGATTTAAAATTTGGCATGCAACATATAAAGGCGTAAAAATTTTTTTTTTAAAAAAAACTATTCCCCTTCTACGTAAAATTGACCAGTAATCTAATATGGAAGAATTTAAGCTCAGTGATGATGTAATTGAACAAATAAAAGATTTTGATTATTGGGATTTAACAAATGAACAAAAATTGTTAGTTGATAAGTTAATATTAAATGAAGAATTAAAAAAACGTTTTAAAGGTTATGGTTTGTGCAAAGAATGTAAACAGCCTAATACTGGTGGTGATTGGTGTAAGTCATGTAACGTTACGCATTTTCAACAAAATTTCCAAAATTGGTCTAGTAAAAATAATGAAGTCGATAAGTTTATTCAAAAAAAACAACTCAAAGCTAAACGTTATGAAGAAATTTTAGAGTGGATTGAATATGATAGATTTGAAAATGTTGAATATTTGGCTGAAGGAGGATTTGGAACTATTCATAAAGCAATTTGGAAAGATGGATATATAGTAAAATGGAATTCTGAAAATAATCAATGGAAGAGAGAAGAAAATTGGTTACAACATAAAAATTTTCCAGTTGTTTTAAAATGTTTACATAATTCTGTTACATCCAAATTTTTAAGAGAAGTAGGTTATTTATTTGTATATAATTTTCAAACTACTGTACCAATATAAATGTTAAACTTACTATTATTATTATTATTATGGATTCTTTTTTAGATTGAATCTCATACTATGGTTATTTCAAGTTGGGTAACTCGGTGTTTTGGCATTACTAAAGGTCCAGATTCTAATAAATTCATGATGGTAATAGAATATGCAAAAGAAGGTAGTTTAAGACAATATTTAAATAATATATTTAATTTGATAAATTGGGAAGAAAAGTTGGAAATTTTACAAAAGATTGCAGGTGGCCTCGATTCTATTCATGAAAAAGGATTAATTCATCGTGATTTTCATAGTGGTAATATGTTAAAAGGTGATGGATATACTATTATTACTGATTTAGGATTATGCCAACCAGCAAATGTAAAACCTGAATATGAAAAACAAGTACTATATGGAGTATTACCTTATGTTGCGCCTGAGGTTTTAAGAGGAAAAGAGTATACTCAAGAAAGTGATATCTATGCATTTGGAATTATTGCATATGAAGTCTGTACAGGGCTTCCTCCTTTTTATGATTTTGCTCATGATAAATTCTTAGCTATTAGCATTTGTGAAGGGCATAGGCCAAAAGCTAATTATAAAATTCCTCAACTAATTTTGGACATAATTAAACAATGTTGGGATGCTGATCCTTTGAAACGACCTAAAGCATGTGAATTATATAAATCATTATATAAATTATATTATTCAAGTGATCAAGAAATCCATGAGCAAATTAAAGAAGCAGAAAGAATTAATGAAAAGTTTACTTCTACTTCATTACCATATAATGGTACTACTCTTTCATATACTACAAATCCTCAAGCAATTTACACAAGTAGACTTTTAAGCTTTGAAAATTTACCAGAACCTAAAAATGACTATTCAGGTAATTAATGTCTTAGTTTATATTAGAAAAAGTATTGTTGAAATACTTGTAATTAACAATTATTTTTTGTTTTCTAGTATCCATAGAACCAATAGATTTCACTAAACTCAATCTAGGTACTAATTTACATTAACTTGCTTCCTGCATGATTAACTTTACTAATAATATTAACAATTTACTTTAATTCATTCTTATAGATAAAGACAACTAAGGAAGAAGATTTACAAATATTCAGAATATAAATTTCTTTATTTGTGTCTATTATTTTATTATTTATTTCTTTATGATTTTTACAGCGTGTGTATTTTATTGGAATATATTTATTATTATTAAATTTTATAAATAAAGTTTTTTATAATTAAACCAAAAATAAATATGATGAATTACTATATGCATTGTATATTATAAAATTATGAAGAAGTAATAAATTACATTATTTATATTTTTTCTTGACTTTATAGTCACATTTTCAAATTTAACATTATATAGTTTAACCCTTTTAATATTCCTTGTGTATTCCTCTTTAGAATTCTTGAATTTGAACGGGATATTTATGATTAGTATTGCTCGATTGTTGCGTTGTCAACATTGTCAACATGTCATTTTTTTCAATTTAATTTATGTTTTTACTACACTTTAGAAAGAAATAAGCATATTTAATCATTCATGTACCTTTATGTTTTTACAATTATGTTTTTTGCTTTTCTCAGGAAATATTTTAACCCTTCCTTTGTATTACTATATATTCGCATCCTATGTATGTAGTATGAATGAATATTCTTATTAATTTATTTTATAGTTAAAAAACTAAAATAATCTATTAAAATACTTTATCAGATATTTAGATAACCTCATAATGTAATTTTATTTTACAAAATTATATACAGTGTAATGCCGTAACTTACCTAATAAATTTATTAATTGTAAGGCGCAGTATTATATTTAATATTAGTATAGTAGTTTAAAATTGTATTTTAATTGGTCCGCAATGACATTAAACTATGATGAACCATAATTAGGAAGGATTAACGTCCGAGATGACGTTTAACTAATGAATTATTGAGTCAGGTGATTAGAACATCAGGTGATTAGTTTGTAGATCATGACATTAAATATAAGGATAATTTTAAATGGTTACTAGAACGGATTTACATTAAAGAAAGGAGTTACAAATAAGTAATGATGAACATTGTTTGTTTAAAGTGAAGCAACGCTTTTTAGCAATTTATTCAGTAAATATTAAGATTTGAGGCAACGCTCAGTATAAAAAGGTGTAGGATTAACAGGGTACAATATAAATATAAATAGATGGCGATTTTGACTTTAAAATGAGGTTAGAATAATTTTTAAATTTTAGGATAAATATTTAACCGTTATTTAATATTATTAAACCAAGCATATTATTGTATTTATTTATATTATTAATAAAGTATTATTTTGTCAATATCTATGGTGGCAACGTGACTTATCACGCCCGTAGAGCTGCGACCCGTTACCCATTTATCCGGATACAATCCGGGTATACTCGAGTATCTATGAGTATCCGGGTTATGGAATAGCAAACGGGTAATACCCATTTTGTATCCGTTTTATGTTGACATATATATACCCGCGGGTAATTGCCCCATAAATTTTGCTAGAATTTTAATGCCGGCCGGAATTAATGTTTATAAATCACTTGGGTGATCGTCACTAATAAGTACGGTTACAAGTTTTAATATTTGAACGAAAAAGTTACCACAAAAAATAACTTTTGTCCCATTTTATTAATTCTGGCTAAAATTGTAATTTTCGGCTAGAATTAAATGTTTACCACTGGTGAGTTTTAGCAATGCTTATCGTAAAAGATTTCTTTTTTTTTTTATATATATTTGATAGTTTTCTTAATTTATAGATTTATTGAGAAAAAACCAGGTTTTTATCCGGGTAATACCCGGGTATACTCGGGTCATATCTAACAAAAAAGATAAACGGGTATAAACGGGTAATACCCGTTTTGGAGTCGGGTAACGCATTTTTTGATTTGAGTATGATCCGGATACAGAAATTCTGACGGGTCGCAGCTCTATATCACGGGCATAGGTATTACAACAGTCATATATAACTGAAATAATGAACTACACATGTGTATAATGTTATATAGTTTAAATTCATTTACTCCATTTTTTAAAAAAAAAATTAATCATCATCATCATCATTTCTACGATTTGTATCTAAAAAACAAAATATTTAACCCTTTCCTTTTTCATAATATGTTCTTTTACATAGTATAAAATATTTTCACTTTTACCATTTTGGATTATATTTCTAAATTAATAATTTCTCTATAAAAGTATTTTGTGAAATTTTGAAATTTTTTAAAAATATTACCAAATCATTCGTATTAAATAAAAGAGTCAAACGCAAATATTCTAATTTAGAAGGAAGAACTTGTCCTAAATTTTGTAATACAGTTGAACTATATTCATCATAATTTGTTGTATGATAATCGTAAACATCCATTTCAATAGTAAGATAATTAATACTTTATATTTATTTATTATTTAAAAATAATGAATAAACATTATCAGACATACTTGATTCAAAATATCTAATCTTTTTACAATATTTCATAATAAACTTGAATAATTGTTGTTTTAGTTCAATATATTCAGTATCATTTTTAAGACAAAACCCAAAATTTTCTAAACAATCACCAAATTACTTTGATAGTAATTGTAATGATTCAACATGGTAGTATTTCAATCATAAATAAAGATTTCAATTTAAAAAGTTACTTAATAATTTGTTGAACAAATTTAGAATTTAAAGAAACACAATAAATGGTATGAACAAGTTTCTAAAACATTTAATTGATCAAAAACCTTTTGTAAAATATTAATTATATCACTAAAGTTAATATAATAAAATATAATTGTATTTAAAATATTTGAACAATTAGAATTTTTTAATCGATGATAAATATGGGTGATTATAAAGTAATATTACTAGATCCAAATGTAATTATTTTGAGATTATGTTGTGAAATAATTATTTGTGATATACATTTTTCAAACAATGAAAAATTATTGAATTTATACAATAAAGATAAATTTAAAAACAATTGATGAGATTGATTTGCAATTAGAATATTAAAAATTGTAAAAATGGAATGATATTTATTACATTCGGAAACGAATGAGGAAAATTGAGTTTTAAATTTTTGATATTGTAAATAAAATTTGGATTTTGTAAAGTTAATTCCATATTTTCATTAAAATCTCTACAATAAATATCCATGTCAAGTACAACTTCAAAATAACGTAAATTTTCTTAACACTTTGATCTATAAAATAAGTTTTCTAGTTTCTTATAATTATCTTCATCACTGTATTTTTAACCCACTTTTAATAGAATAACGAATATTTTGTATATTTAAATATTTAATAAAACTTGGCTAATTGAATAATGTATAAGTAAGTACTGAATTATTATCAATTTTATATTCACTAAATTTCTTCATTTAAAAAGTGTAAACAAATTTCAATACAACGATTATTTTGTGTGGGAATTGAAAATAGATCTTCCCATATGCTAAACGACACCAAAATTTATTAACTAAATATATGAATACAATGTTGAAATAATTTGCTATCAAAAGGAAAGAAAGAAGAAAAAGGAGTAGCTTTCATTTCAAAAAAGATTCAATTTATCAATTTTAGTAACGTTTGTTGTAACTAGTCTATAAAAGGGCAACAAAGGAACTAAAAATAACATCCTTTCTTGTATAATTTGGGTAATTCAGGCCGACAGGCCTAACAATCTCTTATTATTTATTATCGGTCACCGATTTAATAATGTCTGTGCTACAAGAAATAATATCAAAATTATGTAATTTAAAGTCATGATACATTTTCATCAACTCTATCTATATTAACCGATGAATAACTTTTAATAAAATATTTGAGAATATTTTAAAAATGCTTTCAAGTCACTCCGAATTGATCTTAAACTTTTAAATAAACAAGAATTTATCCTAAATTTAGTAATATAATTGGATAAATTTTAATGTAACTTAATTATTTAAATATTTGAACTAACAATGTTTCACAACAGGATCAATGAATTTAGACCATATAGGTTAACTACACAAATAATAAAATTAATATATTTAATGAATTTAAACACAAATCTAATGATTAAATATTTTAGCGAAAAATCGCGAAATGGAAATTATTTATCGATCAAATTATTACCATGGTACGACATAATTCTGTGGTACGGAGTATGTTACACGTTACATGATTCAAATTAATTTATAAATAATTTCATTTCGTCAACTTTGAAATTCAAATAATATTCTCAAAAATGGATATATTTGATTGAGATGGATATTGATTGCATGATGAGAACTGGACGTAACCTAATCAAATGTTGCATTTAAATGTGGTTACATAAATTAAAAATGGGTTAACACTTTTGATGAATAATAATCATAACATAAATATCATAAATATTAAAATTTATACAATTTAAAATAATAACCAAATAAATGATTTATAAATAATTTTTATTGAAAAATACTAATGTGTTGTTACAAAATTACTTTGTTACAAATAATATTTTATAATAATAAATATAATTATCTTTATTTAATAATTGAAAAGTCCTAGTATAAAAATAATAGAGAATGTGAATTATTTAAATTACAAACTAAGAATCTTTTTATTACTCTAATCTTAGTGTTTAAATAATTTCAAAATAAAATAATAAATAGTAAATATGAATTTGTTTTCAAGTAAATTAATTTAAAATCCATCTAAAGAGAATAAATATATTAGTAAATAAATATAATATATTATTTTAATATTATTAAAATATTAAATTATAAACAAACCATCGGGAGTTTCTTGTTTATCTTTTTCTTCTGAATGAAGATTTGGATTATTTTTTACTTCATCTATATAAATAAGATAAATTAGAATAATAATAACTGATCATGCATTATTATAAATAATTTATTTTACTTACCATTAATACTAATATTTGATCGTCGTTGCATGAATTCTCTCTCAAAGTCATTTTGAACGTCTATTATTATCAATAAATCAAATTTATTAACATGCTCATCAACAAAAATATTATAAGAAAATTAGAATCGATATATAAATAAATAATTTAAGACTTTTCCATTCTCTATTTTTAATTTTTTCGATAATCTGGGTGATTCTTTACTATCATTATCTAAAATTAAGATATACAGTAAATTAGTATTTATTTATTATAAAACACTAATAGGAAAAAATTACCATTGGAACTAATTGGCGTATATTGATTACTCGATTTACTAAGATTACTAGCTATAATAAAATGGATCATTTAATATTTATTATATAAAATTCAACATAATTTTAATAAATACTTACAATTACTAGAAATACTAAAATCATATGATCTACTGATATAAAATGCTATTTTTAAAAAAAAGAGGTTATCTCAATCTATTTATTAATTAATAAAGGACTTATACTAAAACATTATTATCTTTATATTACCTTTTTGTTCTTCTGTTATTATTTATTTAAAAAAGGTATCATTAATTATAATGTTAAAGAAAAAAAATCAAATAGTTAATAAACATTAAAAAAGCATACCTTCTGTTGCATTTTTTGGTTCAGGTAGATTTTCAAAATTATGAATTTTACTTGTAAATATTTTACTACTCATAATATTGCTTGTTTTTTTGTCTATTTCTATTATTGGTTGAGGTAATTCATTTGGATTATTTCGATAATATGACATAATTTCATTCATCTTATTGCAAAGTGTATCGATATCAGGCCTTTTTAATGGATCAGCATCCCAACATTGTTCCATTAGACTTTTATATTCGGAAGGAATTTCTGATATAATTTTTGGTCTTATACCATCAATGATATTAATTGCAAGATTATTATCATGTTCATAATTCATAAATGGAGGTTGCCCAAATGAAATTTCCCACATAAGCATTGCAATACTATAAATATCAGATTTAAGAGTATACCCTTTTCCATTAATAACTTCAGGAGCTATATAGGGAAGATTTCCATAAATGCTTGTTGATGGTTTGTCTGCAGGACCACAAAATCCAAGATCACTAATACTCCAATCAGCATTAAACTGTGAATATAATATATTTCCAGAATGCAAATCTCTATGAATTGAATTCTCTATATGAACATAATAAAGTGCATCAATTATTAAAAAAGTAATTTTAATCCTTTCATTCCATGTAAGTTGATTATGATTTTGTTGTAAATATTCTCTTAAATTCATATCATACTTTCTCATTACAAGTAAATAATTTCTATTTGATGGATTTTGTGTTAAACCAAAACATTGAACAATCGCTGAATGTTTGTTGCACAAAGTCAAATGTGATTTAGCCTTTAAAAAATAATAAATATTATTATTACCAATTAAATTTTAAATTTAAGTTCTTTAAATATTTTTAACTTACAAACCTCTTCAAACCAACTTTGACTTGCATTTTCAACATTTTTTAATTCTTTAAGTATTACAGCTTGAGTTCCATATCTTATTAATTGTTGCTCTTTAGAATTCCATTCATTATATTTTCCATCAATCCAATCTGCTGTATAAATCTCTGAGAATCCACCTTTTGTCAGATATTTAATATTTTCTAAATTATTAAATGGGATCCATTCAATAATAACATTTGGTCTAAGTGTTTCCATTTGACAATTTTTTATTAAATTATCAATAACATTATTTCCAGAAGTCCAATTTGAAAAATTAGATTTTAAATAATTTTGAACACAATATTCACAATATAATGTAGCTAAACATTTTTGGTTACAATTCTCACAAATTCTTCTTGTTCCTGAATTAAAACGAATTTTATCTCGGTCATAAGATTCATTATTTAATCTTATTGCTTCAGTTTTTTCTTCTTCTGTAAGAGATTCGTCAGCAAGAACGAATTGTTCACAAAATTCGTATTGTTCATGAAGGCCAACGTAAATATTATAATCAATTGATGCAAATGCTCTACTATTTACTGCTTGTATTAATTCTTCCCGAATATTGGACATTTTTGTTAAAAGAAAAAATATTTTTAAGTGCAAAAAAAATAAAGTTTCCAGACGGTTAACAAATAAGTTGTGCAACCACCAAAATTTTAATATTGTCTACTTGTCACGTGCTGCATTGTAAACAAAATAATGATCATCTGATCATACAATATAGACAAAATAAGATTAAGCCTTTCCGACGATCGTAAAATACCAAAAATCCACAGAAGAAATTTTCACTAAAAACATATATTTCTTTCTAGACAAGTGTCAATTTTTTCACCCTTTTTGGCCCCTACGTTCTTCCCGGAACATTACCATATGAGTTTTAATATAAGAAAAAAATTTTCAAACAAATTTCTTAAAAATATTGAAAAGTCTTACCGATCGGTTACCAACGAAGAAGATATATATTATACATTCTCTTCCTCAAAGACAACTAACAATATGTCTCAACAACCAGTTATAAACCCTACTAACACAACCGGAGATACCTTAATAGACACTGTTATGGAGGAAGCAACGGCTAGTTCTTCATCTCATGTCCTTTCTCACAGCGAAATAGACCTCACATCACGTGACCCACAGGAAAAAGATATTCACACGCAAACACCAATCACTGAAAACTTCCCCATTATGGATGAAGATCCATCTACATCTAACCCCGATAAGGGTAAATCTGCGGAATCTCAACCAGCCTCACAAACAAATAAACCGAATTCGATAGAAATATCCGTGTTAAACGACATTTTTAAACAAACACCCCAGGCTTCTAACAAAGCACACAAAGGTTTCATCCCCAGAGACAGTTTCCGACCCGAACTTTCCAACAATGATATCATCAAGTTACTAAAGACGTCATTTATATGTGATAGTAACGCCTTCAAATTTGAAGTTAACTCAACTTCAACATACAAATACTTCACCATATATTTCCGAACGCGTGACTCGCTCAATCAATATATAGAAAAATGCCCGCCAGAACTTGAACAGGTTAAAATTTTTGAACTTACCAACACAGCTATCAACACATTACTCGAGAGAAAATTTTCCAATCTCGACCAAGCTGTTATCAAAATTATGGATATACCATATAACTATGACACATCCATGCTCATCAAACACCTCGCTATTAAAACCAATAGCATTATCATTGATCATAAAGAAATCAAAAAACCACCCAGGAAAATACCTAACCGAAATAACCGTGGTCGCCCGATCTATATCAAACCAGCATATAAACAACTAATCATCCGTTTCGATAAACAAACAGCCTACGATTATTTTATGCAAGAAAATTATTGGAGCCTAGAAATAGAAAACTTCGTAGTTAGAATACTACCGGGAAACCAAAATGATCCAGAATTTAAAAAACGTACTGGTAATTATTTTAAAATTACAGGACTCCCACTCAATTCTACCGCCATGGACCTTGAACCACTGATCAAACACATTTACGGACGCACTTGCACGTTCACACAAACCACTAGATACTCAACCGCCAAAAATGCATATATATACGTATCACCTGATAATTATCCCACCACCGCCATGAATGGCGCATCTTCACTATTTGAAGGCCACAATATCTACATTCTTCCCGGGCACTTATCAGTTAAAACATGCAATACTTGTGGATCACCACTACATCTTTCAAACAATTGTGACGACAAAAACTTCAAAATGAACTCTGATAATCGTAAGATTTTTCAAAAAAGGTTCATAGACCGTAAAGATGAAAAAATTACAATCAACGAGTGTCACAAGAATAGATATAACCACGTGATATCTCTTAACACTCAAAACAAAAATGCAAACCTTCCGCCAAAGGACGATACACGTACACAACCACAAACAAGAACCCATAAGAACGGTTCACAATCTGGTAGCTTACTTTACCCCCGTCAAGGGAAACAACCACGTCACATCCCACGTAATAACAACGAAACTCACAATTGGGACGACTTACTTATCACCCCCCAACACAACCAGTCGCAAACTGCATCAAATAATCATTTAAATAAAAGAATCGACGATCTCGAAAAACAAGTCCAATCACTCATTAATAACATTCGATTATTACAACAAAACAATACGAAAACAGATCAAAGCATTGCCGACCTACACCACAGTCATATGACTATGGATACATCGCTTTCAGAAATAAAAGAAAGATGTGTCAAATACGATACAATTATTCAACAACTTACTACTAATATTAATTTACTAAGTAAAAAAGAGATAGCAGCGACCCAAGAACGTCCTCGCAAAATATCAAAAAAAGTCACGCCATATGAACAAACTTCATACAGAGCAACTAAATCCAAATACAACCTTAGGAATAATAAAGATAATACTACTTATGAAGACGAAAGCGAATTCCACCCGTCCACAGGAGACGACACAGACGTCCCGGACGAAAATGCTATGTCAGATGGCGCTAGTTTCGAAGGCATTATAGATAACACGTTACAAGAACCTGTTAAAAATGACACTTTTACAGTCAAATCATATAATCCACTAAACCTCCTCAATAGTTTTAACGCTACACGTTGATACTATAACTCCCTCCACCATATTTTTGGACTAATTACGGACTTCCCCTACTGATTTTGATGTTTAAATAATTTTTTTACACATTCAATTTTATATTAAATTTTTTTTTTTTATGGAACACACCAATATAACACCCCCGGTTGGCGTCGAAAACCAACCTTTAAATAATAGATTTCAATATTCATACTCCTTAAATAATCAAAAAACAATAACCCAAAAAAATCCAGAAAATCTCGAAAGACAAAAAAAAAAAAAAATGAAAATGATAACTTTCATACTTCACCCCTTAATAATACTGAATCATCCTTTTACCAAATACATAGTTATACTACTCGTGATCCTCGAAACAACGAAGATGAACAAATGTTAAATTATATACAATCTAACATCTTTAAAGATCCTGACTGTCCTGGTTTAGCGTCTACATCACAAACCCACGCTACACCCTCTACTATGGATTCACCACCACGAACTCAATTCATCGATTACTATAAGTTTGGCACTGTTAACATTCAGGGAGGGTTCAACAATAAGTTAAATGATATCCTCTCCTTCTACAGTTTACACAATTACGACATTTTAGTCCTCACGGAAACTGGTTTACACCATAATAATGATCCAAATTCGACCAAAACTAAACATTCCAAACATTTCCTACCTTCACTAAATGACGATTATGAAAAAAATAGTATTCATATATACACGGACGACAAAGGAAATACAAAAGGAAGTGGAGTTTCTCTCATTATTTCTGATAATCTACAAAAACACGTCATCAAATCTACAACTTTTCAGGGACGTATTCTAAGTATTGACTTATGTTTCAAAGGCAATCACTATATCAAACTTATAGGTTGCTATTTTCCAGCAAACGCTTCAGATGATAAAAATCTGATAATTAGTTGTTACAAAGAACTGGAAAAAATTTTATTCAACGCGTCACTCAATAACTACCAATGTATAATTTTAGGTGATCTAAATATTAATTTAGACAAAATTAAACGCTCCAATCATTATTCAGCATGGAGACGTGAGATCAAAAATATTCTAAAAAATCTTAATATGATAGATGTGTTAAAATTTTTTCACGACCAACCTTCATATACACATAGTTCCATTAGACACGAAGGTCCAAATATAGAATCGCGTATTGATTATATATTCATGACGACTAATTTATTACAAAATACTTTCTACGCATTTACACATAATGTATCACGGGATTTATTCACCACTGACCATAAAGCTGTAGGCTGCTATTTCACGCAAGACTATTTTAGAAAACTCAATAATAGTTCTAGAAAAAGTTTAGAAAAATCTGCTACTTTTAGGCCTAATCTCACACCCAAAATTCATTATAAATACCATTTGATGACCAATAATCTATGGTCTCTCTATAGACACTGGTAAAAAAATGATTTATCCTACACATATCTTACACATATTGGGTACTCAAAATGTAGAAAATCATACATAAATAATACACATATTATACACATATCGGGTACTAATATATATATCATACATATATCAGGTACCTGATAGGTATACTATATATATAAGTACCCGATATGTGTATGATATGTGTATTATTTGTGTATGATTTTCTACATTTTGAGTACCCGATATATGTAAGATATGTGTAGCATATGTGTAGGATAGACCATTTTTTTACCAGTGAGAATTAACAATGGTATAATTTTCCGTCAGTTTTCAATCAATCAAAACGTAAATGATCACACCCCTGAACAACAAATAGAAACTTATTGGATTAATATAAAAAATATTATTAACCAAACTAAAGAAAAACATATTCCTTTCTCTACATACAAACACCACGTTAAACACGATCGCCCCCTTCGCCTTAGACAAAACAACAATAAAGTGCTCATAATTCGTAATATTTTACGACAATTCTCCAATAGTAAACTTCAGAGAATCAAGGATGGCGAAACTCCTTGGAACGAACATTGGCAGCGTTGGAATCTTTATCGTCATCAAATTGTATCAGTTGACGTCCACTTTCACTCAAAAGAAACGGTTTGTATACCGAAAATATTAACATTAAATAATGTTAAAGAAACCAAAAAGATTATCCAAGGCTTATTAAGAGTCATTATTATTTTACAAAAACATGAGGAAGATAACTGGAAAAGTGACAACATTAATCGTTTTATCAACCAACGTAACGATAATTTGGTTCATAATCAGAAAAGAATGATTAATAGTATCCTTGATCGTAAACCAGAAAGAATTAATTTAGATCGTTTACATTATTACGATTCTAATACTAAACAACATTTATTTACCAATAATCCATCCATTATAGCTGAACAAACTAATTTACATTTCCAACGTTTAGGAAAATCTTTGGAGGAAATTAATGAAATCAAAAATTATGAAACAATACAAGATCTTCCTCCTTATTGGAGATCAAGTTACGAACCTATTAAACGACCTGAATTTGATCACATGACGTCCTTGTGCGACGAATTTAGTATGGAAGAAATGTTTAATACCATTTCCGCTCTACCTAATAATAAAGCCGCTGGTATCTCTGGAATCACCTATGAGGATATTAAACACCTTCATGAAGATTTTAAAGCATATATTAGAAATTTTTTCAACACTATCCTACGATTTCAAATTTATCCAGAAGAATGGTCTCGGGCTTTACTATTCCCGATTCCTAAACCAAAGGCATGGGATTGTAAAATTGAAAACACCCGCCCAATCGTTCTATTAGAGACATTTAGAAAATTATTTGTCAAAATACTAACACAAAGAATTAACATACTTTTGACAACTCATAATCTCATTAATGAGAATAACCGTGCGGGTTTGATTGGTCAATCAACCCTACAACCATTACAAATTATTCAACACATCATAGAATCTGCTAACAATGACAAAAAAGAACTTTGGATTGGATTACAAGACCTGAGCAAGGCTTACGATCGAGTTAATCGATCATTGTTAAAATTAGCGTTAGAAAGACTACATTTCCCTCTCCTATCGTCACCCTCTTACTATCCCTGTTTACTAATAGGAAAAATAATGTAATTTTACCATCTGGATTGTCCACGGCGTTCGACGTCTTACAAGGCATCGACCAAGGAGAAGTCATTAGTCCTATTTTATGGATTATCTACTATGACCCTATGTTCACCCATTTGGCATCTTTGCCAGACATATTACACACTACTTCCATTACAAAAATTAATAATATTTATCAACCGGATTCCGATCTGAAAATTAATTACCTTTCCTCGGTGGTTGGATATTTAGACGATACCAGTTGGTTTGCGTCCTCACAATCTCAATTAGAATCCAACCTCCAAATCGCCAATTCGTTTTATGATATGGCGAATATCACGATCAACCACGACAAGTATACCATCCTTACGAATAATCCCAAATTTTGTAACAAAGGTATACAATTGGCCGTCACTCCATCAAAATCGATTACGATCAAAACGGCCTCACGCTCCTCCTCCAACCGAATTTTAGGAATATATATTAATGCCTTTAATTCGTATTCACCAACTTTAAAAAAATTAAAATCTATTATTAATTATTTCGCATATACTATGCGTTTCAAAAAACTAACACACGACCACCTTATTTATATTATTAATAAGGTTCTCCTTCCGAAATTGGAATATATTAATCAATTTACTATTTTTACCCGACAACAATGTGATTCTCTTTTAGCACCGGTCAAAAAATTATTTAAAAAACATTTAAAATTACCGGTTTCATCACATAACAATATTATTCACAACAAACTTTTCCCATCGATTAATAGTTTTTTTTACAACCAATTTTATTCACACGTTTCGATTGTGAATGTTTTATTTAACACCCCTTTATTTTCCACTATTGGTCTTCAAAAAATTTTAAATACACAATATGAATTTTGGTTACCCAATTTCCCTACGGCAAAAAATTTTTCCAACCCTTTATTAACAAAAAATCAATCACTTTTACACGACAATTGATATTATTCAATGAATTTTATATTAACTTTTTACCACATTGTAATACTTCTGTTACTGGTGGAAGTAACCCTATAATGTTATATTTCTATTCAAACATTAATTTACCTGAATTAAAATTTTCAGACTTACAGAGTTTACGGAAAAAACGAATTATGTTCATGGATCAATTATCATCTTTAGATGGACATTATTTAAGTACATGGAAAGAAGTCAAACAACAAAATCCTAAGGCTAATTTCCAAGGACCTACACCAGGTTGGTTTACGAAGCTTGAAAAAGATAACGTTATATTATCTGAAAATTCTCGGCGCCTGATCCAAGATTTGGATTTATCACTGCCGGCCAGATTTATCTCTACATCCCCTAAAATTCGTAAAGAAGCCGTTTCTCGCCTAACAAACGAATGGACAATCTCTTGGGATCTTTCACAACAACAAGAGTTTTACGGCAAAACAATAGAACAACACAATGATATATACGGTACCAGTTTAACTTATAGAACACATTACATACCAGCGTTAGATGCTGACACCCGTACCAACTTAACTCCAAAAAAATTAACACCTAGTTTACGTCCATGCCCTGGTAATTGTGGTCATGGTGTTCCTTTCCACAACGACCTACGTCCCAAATGCGTTCTTGTTTCGCTCACGTCACATTTAATAATTTTTAAAACACATGGGAAAAAATATATACCTCCATATTTTCGTGATAAAAATCACAATTCGTTAATTTTTCCTGTTAAACTTTACACACATTACGCTTATTAGCGTTGACTATTACAAAACATAGATTAATTGTTCCGAACGTTTTACCTTCACATATTCCCTTACTTTCTTCATTAGACTCGTATATTAATACGAATAAGGATTTTTTTATTAATCCATTAAATTTAAATTTAGATATTTCTTCGCCTTTTTTTATCAGAAATTTATTTTTAGGATCGTATGATTCAATCCTTGATTTATTTGAAATTTCAAAATCTTTTTTATTACAAAATACTTTTTCTTTTTATACTGATGGTTCTTTTTCCAGATTAGAGGAAAGTACTTCTAGTCCAACACAAATGGGTTTTGCGTGGATCGAGACGTCTAATTCCACGCCTAGTTCTAATATACCACCACCTTCTTTTAAAGGAGCGTTATCCTTTAATCCGTCTTCAACCAAAGCTGAAATTTATGCATTGCTGACTACTATTATCGTGGTTCCGAATAATAGTGCAATTGATGTCTTCACTGATTCACTGAATATGATCCAAACATTCCACAAGATCACTAACAAGTCAACATCTATACGACAAAAACTCAAATGCAAAAATCATATAGCATGGCGTCTAATTGATACGCTAATAGAAAAGAAAGGATTGACATTACGTCTTCACAAAGTTAAAGCACACTCCAATGATTTTTGGAATGATACGGCGGATGATTTGGCAAACATGGCGCGACAATTACCGCCCATCGAAATTAATCCCACTCATCTTCCTGGTAGCCTTATGACTCCCTTATGGGCGTCTATTGCTCCTATAGATCGCGATATTAGAAAATTTGGACATAATATTACTGATACTTATACTTTTGATCAACTATTGGGTAATACAGGATTATCACCTATCTTTGATCGATTTTCCATCTCCTCAATACATTGGCCGTTGACTCAACTTTGGTTACATCACAACTCAACGTCTGATATTTGCAGCTCAACTAAATCCTCCTATGACGCTTTTAAAATTAAGGCGTTCAACCATATTTTACCTTGTGGTGATGTTTTAATTAAACATTACCCGGATTTATATCCGAACCAAGATATACCCTGCCCTTTCTGTTCTGACCTAGCAGACTCAAATGAACATTTAGGATTATGTACAAATTTATTTCCCATAATCAACAAAACTCTTCAGGCGCACAAAATTATCCTGCAGGATCTTATTGATAAATACACGGATTACGACATAACCTTCATCACATCTGCAATCAATCAATTTGATTTGCTCAAACCCCTCACGAGCGACAACTCGTCAAATCACCTGATCTATTTGATTATTCATCAACTAATACCGCAAGATTTATATAATTTAACACGATCCTTTACATTCAATGATAAAATTTCCCGGAAAATTATCTGGGAATTCCTTTTATCTTTTCATGAAGACATCTATTCACAAATATGGCCAAAACACTGTTCCTTGTTACGTGCGTGGGAACGTTGTAACGGAATCACTACGAATCAAAAACGGAATATTAAATATAATGATAAACGTAGACGCCGACATCAAGTTTCTGTTAATCCTCCCCTCAATGGTAGTACATCATCCACTTCACCACCTGCACAAGCTCGGACTTACAATCGCAGACGGACCAATACCACTCCTTCAGATGGATCTCCGCGCCTTCATGTTCACCCTTGGTTCACGACGCCCCCATCTAATCGTCCCCTGTCTTCACCGCAATTACCAATGTGGTTGATCTTGTGCACCTGCAATTTTTTACATTCCAGTGGTTGGTTGTCTTTTATACGTCACCCTACCCAGTTAGAGTTGGATTTAGATAATTTTTCTTCTACTTGTAATTTTAATTTCAATTTTTTTAGTTCTTCTTTTTCTTTACCTGTTTTCTCCACGACATAAGGCTATACCTGTTTGTCATTTGTAAAGAACGGGCAAGGCGACTCCTTTGGGCTTCACCCGAGAAGTTGGGTTTTATCACTAGCTTAGAATTCATTAGACTTTTAGTTTAAAATTGTTCTTTTGTAATGTTGGACCCCAGTCGTGTCGATATTTTAAAAATAAAAATAAAAATAAAAAATAAAATAGACAAAATAATCCGTCATTACCGGCAACTTGGATCTTTTTATTATTTTTTTTTTATTGTACATAAGTGATGTAAAAACTACAAAGGTACAAATGACGCTAAGGTTAAATTTTCGTAGACTAGAATTATTTTCTGCAAATTTAGTTTTGATATTTTTGGAAAAAACCTATTTTATCAAATCATCATAGAATTCAAAAATGGAAACACCTTTAAATTCATAGTAAAATAAAATTTCAATTGCCATATTTGTTGATGATGATTGTCTATGTTATCAATAAATTTCAATGGTAATAAAAAAATATTAAATATTTAATAATGGATTAATTTTCTTTCTTTTTTTTTAATAATATTTATTTTAGTTATTACTTAGGATTTTTTTTTTTATTGGCAATTGATGTTTAATGGAGCCAAATTTGAAGTTTCGAATGAAAAAGCGAAATCAAAAATTCAATTCTGATTATAAAATAATATTTCGATATTTAATATAGTTAGCATATTTTTCAGGAAATATTATTGCCTTTTTCGTAACATAATGAGCTTATAAAAATTAAAAGTTAACCATATTTTAGATGATTTCTCTATTCAATAAAACTTTTTTTTAAAAAAAATTCAAAGATCATCTCTTAATAATTTTTTATTGCAAGAAAAAAAAATTATTATAGTTGGAGACTAAAGCCACTAAATATTTAAGAGTATAAGACAATATATACAAACTATCCATTTTTTAGGTATATCTAGACGACATTATTATTGATGACTATATCTATTTGGTGAGCGACTCTATAAAATGATCCTTATTTTAAACATCGTTATTTATTCACTTTTTAATACAAAAAAAAACCATTTACTAGGACTTTCTAAGAATTTAGGCCATTAGAAAATTATACCCACCGTTTGCATAAAATTCTTGAAGAGTATCCTAATGGTTCACAAGTTTTTTGTGAATTTTCCAAAATACCAAGCAAATATAAAACAATAGATATTATTACTAGCAAAGAACAATCGCATTATTGAAGTAATTATATATAGAAAAAAGAAATTGACAGATAATAATAGCGTGATTAATATTTCGTCGAACAAAAATGTTAAAGAAACAAAGAAAAATTCTTCACGCAGGAGGTTCATTGAAAGGGAAGATCGTCGAAATTCCGGTTAAAAATAACAACCGCCATGAGATATATGGAAGATAATTTTGCCGATACATCACGTGAAATTACGTTTATGGACGAAGAGATATATGAATATATAAGAGATGTCGGTTACGTGGAACAATTAAAAGTTAAACGATGTTATAAGTATAATACGATCAAGGCCAATATTCGTTTTACTAAAGATTATGAACAAATTATTTTGCGAGGAGGCTCCAATATTATTGTAGTCAGAAATGGTCGTCAATATTTTTGCAGAATGTTTGACTCGAAATTGACGCCACGTGAATCAGCGAAAAATTTAGATGGCAAGCGATTAAGAAAATCATGATTGGTAACGAGGTAAAAAATGAAACTATTATTAAGGAAAACATTAAGAAATACAGCGGTCATTTTGGTAAAATAATTAGGATCAACAAAATTAAATATATCCTAATATATTTTAACAACGAAAACGATATTATGAAAGCCGTAACAATTCTGCGATATAATATGTTAGGAAAGAGCTTACAAGTGAAAACACAAGACGATTTGATTGACAAAGACGGTAGTTTTAAGAAACAGAGGACTCATAAGACGACACCAAACAATAATTCTAATCATCTATCGGAGGATGAATAATTTTATGAAGCAACGGATAGTCTTACGGGTTAGACGGTCCAAAATACAAATAAGGTTGAAGATTTTAATAAATTGAATGAGGTTTTTAGTGACAGAATTAACGAGAATAGTGGTAAAATTGATGGATCAAAAGGTAAAGAAAAAGCAGGTATAACTTTGAACGAAAATAAGAAACGCATTACGCAAAATCAGGGTGCTAGGGAAGGCAGTGATAATGAGTAAATACACAATAGAGTGATCTTTAGTACTATATTAGACTTTTTACAACATATCTAGGTTTTTATAGTAAAGATTCAAATTTTGTATTAGATAGATACTTTATTGACACAATGTATTTACTTACGTTGACATTGGAATTAATTTCGTTTGTAATTATTCCAATACTAATATAGTTATATAAAAAATAAAAAAAAGCGTGGTCAATATGATAAGGCAGTGGGTAAAATTTATTTATTTATTCATCGATGCGTTTTTAACAACTTACAATATTTGCAATTATTTTTTTATTTAATTTAGTAATGGAAGTGAGATTCGATTCAGTTCATCATATCTTCTTTCATTACCAGCAAATAATTAAAAGGAGTTATTTGAATTGATAATAGTGACGTTTTCTAAATGAAGACATTGTACTATGTTAAGACCAAAAATAGAAAAAGCACATTTTAGAGAAGTTTTATTGGTCTATTTATCACGTTAATAATGCTGAAATTATCACCTTAGCAAGACAAAAAGGATTTGGTAATTAATTATTTATCATACTGCATTATTTCGTAACGAATTTATGTTAACCTATCATTATCTTTAAATAGCAAGTAGGTCAAAAATAATCCATCATTCTCTTTAAAACGAAGAAATTTTATTAAATCATATTAGCAAGTGTAAGAGCAATACTAATGAAACGTACTATGTATTTATGTATTCTAACAGTCGTGGAAATTTTTACGCCAAGATTTGCCAGATTTACGAAACAAAATTTTTTTTATAAATTTGCAATTAATATTTTTTTTTTTTTTATGGGAAAAATAGAAATCGTTTATAAATTAATTAATATTAAGTAAATTAGCACATAAAATCTTGATATTTACATTGGAACCATTTACTCATTATTCACGAGGCGAGTAATAAACATTTAGCTAAAATTAACAAACTTCTACTCAAAAAATTTACTCTAACCAAAATTGGGATGACTATTTTATTCAGTTAAACTCTTACCTAGAAACAAAATATGATTTATATATATTCCACATAATTAATTACTTTTTATACAAAAATAAGTAAATTTATTGGATATAATAAATGAAATAAATTATCGTTATCTGTTATAATTTCAGTAATAATGCATCGATAAAACAAGTTATTTTTATTTCTATTATTAAGACAAAGTACAGAGGCGTAGTTAAAGTAAGTCATAACTGAGAGTGGCTTTTTTTACAAATCCAAAGTTTATATATTATATTTATTATTGTACAAGGAAAACGTTAATTCATTGCAAATACATACATAAATAAATAAGATAAATATTAAAGGCAAATATAAATAATTACTATGATTTGAGAAATAAGGATTCTTGAAGATATGGTCCACTACCGTCAACAATTTCAATAGAATTAATAATTTGTCTAATTTCAGATAATTCTTCAGAACTAAGATTAACTTTTACTGCTTCAACATTTTATTCCAAATGTTTGCTTTTTCTTGTTTCAGGAATAACAACCATATTATTTCCCTGTAAAAAGTATATAATTTTAAATAAATGTTATGATATTAAAATGTAATAAAATTTTAAGGTTAATACTTACATGAGCAAGAATCAAAGGTAAACAAAGTTGACCTAAAGTTACGTCTTTCTTTTTCTCATTAAATTTATGTACAACTGCTAATTTTTATTGACATTTTCACCTTGAAAACGTGAAATCATTCTTCTAAAATCATCTGATTTAAAATCATCAATATTTTTCCTAAATAAATAAATATATACATACATATATTTGTAAATTGCTAGTAAAGTACAATTTAAAAAATGATAAATACTGTTAGAAATCCACGCTATAGTGATACAAGCTTCTATAATTCCATTTTTTTCAATATTCAATCTTAAAAAATAATATTAATATAGATCGAAAGGGTTAATATTAATCATGTTAAATATTAATAAAAATTGATATACTTACTTCAACTACTTGAACTGCGGCAATAGGATGAACTTTATACAGAATATTCAGAAAGAACAATATATTTAACTTTTCCTTCCTTAACAAGTTCTGCTAGAGCGTTAACAGAGGTCTTATGCACAGTACCATTACAAAAAGTTACACATTACTGATAACAAAAATTAATTATAATTTAATTAAAAATTTTAAATTAAATGGTTAAATTATCTTAAAATTAAAATAAAGTGACCCTAAAGAAGTGTTCCGAAATTAAAGGTTACATTTTATCTTTAATGAACTCATCTAATCTTACACTAAATATATTAACATGTAGTTGTTTGAAAGCTTTACGAATTATTAATGAAAAATGGCCTGTTAAAGGTACCAACTTTTTTTTGCAAAATATAAATTTATTTAATATCAATATTGTTTTATTTATACACATGTTCCTTTTATGAATCAAAGATAAATTATGTGGATACCCTACTACATGTAAAACTTTCTAAGTAAAATATCCAGTTTTTTAATGGGACCAACAGATTGATCAATAATAATCAGAACTGTTGCTATTATAATTGGTTGTATTTCATATTAAAAAACCAACATGTAAATATAAGAAAGCAGCCAATCTAGAAAGTTAGTGTTCTCATATTAGCCAGCCAGATAATCTAATAGATCTTTAAATCCATCTAAATAAAATTAAATAGCTTCCAAAGTATACTAGTTGATTGGTAATATATCATATGATTGCTTGATCATATTTCGTAATATACCTCATTTTAAAACCACAAAAAAATAAAATTTTACAACTCATATTACGCGAAACATTCAAAAATAATCCTGGAATAGTTTGTTATAAAAATAGATTTGAAGATGATTATAAAAAAATTACAATTCGTTTCTTTTCATATGATTCTAGTAATATTATATTATTTTACATTGCTTGACTAATATCTAAACAGAAATTATAATCACAAATGATACTATCAATATAAAATCTAACAGTAAATGTAAAGCAAGAGAGCTCTTATTTTTTAAATTAAATTTAATATGAAGGATTTATTGTCAAATAATATATTATAGTTATTTATCCTAAACTAGTAATATGAGTTTTGAAGTTTTATGATTTTCCTGCTTACCGGAAAGATGAAATTATATACGAGCTTTTAAAGAAAGTGGGATATATAGAAAGATTAGAGGTCAAATGGAATTATAAATACAAAATGGTCAGAGCCAGGATTCGCTTAACAAAAGAAATGGAAGAAAAATTTCAAAAAGGTGGATCCAATATAGTGCTAACAAGAAATGACCGTACGTGTTTTTTCAGACGCAAAAATGGACGCTTCAGCAATTAAAAGAAGATATGAATGGCAAGCATATAGAAAATTGGATATAGAGGAATTAGAAAAGAAGGACAAGGAAATTATTAAAAATTACAATGCAACCTTCGGTGGACACTTTGCCAAAGTGATCAAAATAAACAAATTTAAATATATTTTGATTTACTTTAACAATGAAAATGATTTATTAAATGCAATTTACAGATCCACAATGGTAGAAGATTTAGGAAAAGGTTTAAAGATAAAACTTCAAGACGAATTGATTGGAGATAAAGGGACGTACAAGCGAAAAACAGGAATAAACAGATTTAAAGTGCCAACACAAACAAAGAAAGATAAATTTGTTGACGCCCAATCTGATATTCTATCAACAATACCGCGAACAGAAGAAGAACATGCAGATTTTGACGCCTTGAACAATAATTTCAGTGACAGATTGAATAAGATTGAGAAGAAATTAGACTTGCCAAAAGGAAAGGATAAGAAAATGGAAGAAAAAGATGACATTAACAAAAATAAAAAACGCGTAGTGACAACGCAAGGACAAAGAGAAGATTCCGACAGCGAATAAACAAATTTGTCCAGAAAATATTATACAAAATCAAGAATATTTCCTTTTGATTCAACATTTGAATCTGATAGAAGATACGACAAATAATTAGAGTATAAAATTAGACGCTATCTTAGGTATTTTCATCAATAGTGTAGTTTTAAATTAGAATTTTTTTTGATGACAAAATTTTTTCGAAAATTTTTTATTTTTACAATATCATTTTTATTTCAATAGATATAAATTAGCAAAGCCTCTACTTTTTAGAAAATATTAAAAACTTACAAAAACATAGTAAAATTGATTTAGTAATGTAGTTTAGGAAAAAACAATATTAATTTTTAATCAACACAATTATTATTTTTAGTTAGATTTTAAATTAGAAAACTTAGAATAGATATACTTTAGTTATAGAGGGTATTATATTTTAGATATAATATTTTCTAGGTGTTTTAATATTTTGTATTGACTTTTGTATACAAAATTAATAAACGCGTTACTAATTTCTTTTAAAAAAAAAAAATAAACTAGTAATATGAGCTAGCTTAATGATGACTGATAATGTATAATTATGGATTATTTTAATTACACAATATCATTAATCATATATATTAAAAGCCACAATTATACATTATTAGCCATATTCCTAGTTTAGGTATAAATTAATAGATGTAAAAATATAACTCATACATAAACTTTATTTTTTTTTATGAATTATAATAAAATTTTCTTTGGAAAAATAAAATCAAACTTTCAAACAAATTTTCAAATCTAATTTTCAGACAAAATTTTTCAAATCAAATATCAAATTTTTAAAATTTTCAAATGACTTACCAAATGTGCCCAAATTTCAATACTCCCTTTAACAATATTCCACTTGATAAATGTTTTCATAACCATCATCTTCAATCTGAACCATTTACTTTTCAATATTCTATTACTTACCTATACATTCTTTTCATTTTCTTAATTATATATACAAATCTCCAATGTTAAGAGACTTTGAAAATAAATTTTTTGATAAAATAATCCCTTCATTAGTTAAGAATTCTTTTTCATTAACAAAATTAGCATTATTTGAATGTGATATAGACTTATCATTCATAGCTGTGTTCAAAAATTTCCAAGAACTTAATTTATATCAACCACATACTTGTTTTACTCCTTATTATAATAAAATTCATAATTAATACATTCTTTTTTCTCTCATTAAACTTCTCTCTCTCAACTCTCTCAAATCTTTTCATCTATCAAATCTCTTTCTTCTTGAATATTTCCTTATCTCAAACCTTTCATATTACAAACATTACTATCTCTCTTACCTTTCATATTATCCTAAATATTCTCCTGCACTATCTATTCTTCTTTCATTTCTTGATTTACTTCTCCATTTCTTAATTTTCTTTATGAATTTACTCTCATTTTATAATAAAGTTTCTTTCATCATCTCTCTCTTTCTACAAACACAAAATTGATTTGATAGTTAATTTAAAGAATATCCTTACAAATAATTCCCAATAGTATATACATTAATCTTCTAAGCAATCTTATATTACATAGCTTGGCCCATAGCTTACCAAATATAGTATGGAGATGTAATCTATACCCTTTGGTCAATTTGGGAATACTCGGCCATTCTTAGATAATTTTTACAAGGGGATCATTTGCATCGCCCATGAAGCATTGCACCATGCTGATTGGTGTCAGAGATCCTTGTAAAAATTTACCCTTTCTTGATCATTTGATCTATTTCATGTGATTTCATTCTTCACATGTGATACCCTTTATTCAATTATTCATTTCTTTGTTGAGTTCTTTCCTTAATAACTTATCAACTCAACATTATCCATCACCGTTGGTTCCACAATTTCTGTGTCCAAGTTCAATTCTTGGAGGTGATTTTCCTTCTTTTTTCAGTTTTCCATTCTAAATATTCTTTTTAAAGAAAAAGATAAGAGAAATCATCACATTCTGTTTAGACACGATATTTTGGTAAATTTCTCAATTATTTTTTTTCATTTTAATGAACAGTTTCTAATAGTTCATCATCTTTTTTTTAAGTAGTTTTCTGAGTTTGCTTGGATCTCAGTAAGTAATAATTTTGTTTTTTCTTTGAATTTTTTATACAAACTTCACTAACATTTCTTTTTCTATTGTAATCGGTTGGTTCTTCAGAGTATTTGGACGCGTAGGAAAAGTTTAATTTTTTCTTTGTTTTAGATGGTTTCTTCAGTGTACTAGATGAGGTGTATTTTTAATCACTTTATTTCAGCAAAATGATAACTAATAATGAATTTTTATTCTTTTTAGGCAACTTTTTAGAATCATTTGGCGTGTGAAAATAACACTCATCTAAATTATAAAATAATTAATATCTCACTCACATTATCTACTTCTCCATCTTTCCTATGATAAAAGCACACTTGCAATTTCATCCCGTAAAAAAAGTCGATCCATTTTTTATATTCCATCTTTTTTCTGTAAAAGGCTCATGTTTCCGGAATGAATAGCCTTATATTACGGAATTTATCAAATTATTTACATTTTCCGTGAATATTGATCCGTGAAAGGCTCATTTTTATGGAGTTTTTACAGAAATAATGGATAAAATTTTTTATAGAGCATAGAAGCGAACTTAGAGTTAAAACCCTAAAGATGGAACCCTGGAACTCTTTCTGCTGATCTTTCAACCAAAAATTTTATGGAAGAAATATCAAATTTTATTAAGAAATACTATAGTTCAATGCAGGAAGAGATAATAAACAAAGCTATTAATGAGTTCTATGAAGACTTTAAATGGTTAGAAGCAACCTAGGACCAAACACTATTACAGAACCAGATACCTTCCCGGTAACAATGTTTTTACCAGGTGGACCTAAAACACGTCCTCTAAACATATATCTAGTTGAAACTTTCTTATTAAAATGGAGTGGTAAAGTTTCTACAAACTTCTCAAACAAAATTTTTGGCGCAGCAACAACTCTACATCATGTGAGGCATGTGAGCTGGGACTTCTAAATATACTAAATATCTAATTTTTATTCATTAGATAAGGCAAAGTACAAGAAATATTAAACGGTCAAGATTCATGTGAAAATAATGGAAGGTTCAAAATTTGGAAAATGAGGGGAACGAATAATATTGAGCAAAGATGTGGAGATAGATATAAGAAAATAACTACAAATCTAGAAAATCATGTTAGAGAATTGGAAGTTGATGCAGCGACAAATTTGCTGATCTCAAGCACTAAGTTTCAAAATTCACTTTTGTAATATTAATAAAAAAATCAAAACTATTCAACCAAGGTAAAGTCTACTATGTATTTATTTTAAAGGATGGAATTTGAAAAGTTTAGGTATAAGGTCACATGTAATATAATAATGAACTAAAATATTTTTTTAACTTCTTTGTTTATTAAAATTACAAATAATTATCTTTTATATAATTATATGCATTAATATATAAATTAGTATAATATGATTGAACTATAATATTATGTAATTTAAATTCATTTACTTCATCTTTTAAACAAAATAATTCAATTTCATCCCTAGTATAAACATCTATATCTAAAATAGCCAAATATTTGACCCTTTCCTTCTTCATAATATATTTCTTTATACAAAATAAAGTCTTCTCATTCCTATCCAATACTATATTTTTAATTAACAATTTTTTAATAAAAGTATTTTGTGAATTTTTTAAAAATATTTCCAGATCAATTATCCCAAAAGAAAGAGCTAAACTTAAATATTCTAATTTAGGAGGAAGAACTTGTCCTAAATTTTGTAATACAATTGAGCTTAAATCAATACAATCATTATAATCAATAGTAAGATAATTAATATTATGTTGATTATTTTTAATGATTGAGTAAATATTATTATCACCAGGTAAACCCAAACCAAAATATCTAATCCTTTTACAATATTTCATAATGAACTTGAATAATTGTTGTTTTTGTTCAATAAATTCGGTATCATTTTCAAAAAAAAACCCAAAATTTTCTAAACAATCACCAAATTTCTCTAATAGTAATTGTAATGACTCAACATGTAATATTTCATCTATAAATAAAGATATCAATTTAAAAGGTTTAATAACCTTAATAATTTGTTGAACAAAATCAGAATTTAAAGAATCACAGTAAAGAATATGAATAGAATCTAAAACATTCAATTGATCAAAAATTTCTTGTAAAATATTAACTATATTTTTAAAATCAATGTAATAAAATATAATTGTATTTAAAGTATTTGAACAATTCGAATTTTTTAAAGATAAAAATGGATTATATATATTAGCATAATACCCAAATAAAATTTTTTTGAGACCATTTTGTGAAATAATCATTTGTGATATATATTTTTCAATTAATAAATAATCATTGATGAAACGATTTCGTTTATAAAATTTAATTACAAATGATGAGATTGATTTGCAATTACTAGAATATAAAAATTTCAAAAATGAAATAAGATTTTGAGTTATAATAATAGAAAAATCTAAAGTTAAATTTCTGATATGGCATGTAAGATTTTGATTTTGTAAAATCTTCATATTATTTAAATACCTATAACCTGTAAAAGGTAGTACAACTTCAAGAGAATGTAAATTTCCTTCATTTTCAATGAACACTTCAAATAATGATCTATAAACTAAGTCTTCTAGCTTATAATTGCATTTGCCAATCCAATTTACAATAGAATTACAAATTTTATTTGTATCTAAGTATTTAATAAAACTAGGATAATTGAATAATGTATTTGTAAATTTTAAATCATTATTAATTTCATATTCATTAAATTTTGCTTTACTATTTTCATTTAAAAAGTGTAAATAAATTTTAATACAATGATAATTTTGAGTAGGAGCTGAAAATGGATCTTCCCATAATATCGGAATGGCTAAACGACACCATAATCTATTAACTAAAATACATGAATACAATGTTGAAAAATCTTTTCTTAAATACTGTATAATTTCTTCTGTTAATTCAGGTAATTCCCCAGAAAATAATTTTGAAAACGCCATGTTGGTTAAAGGAAATTTCGTTTCAAATATTTCAAAAAATAATTTATTAATTTTCGGAGTTGTAGTAGGTGTTGTACAATTTTAATTAATATTCCATAAAAAGACAACAATAGAACTAAAAATAACATGTAAATCATTCCTTTTCTGCTCCCATCCATCTGATCGACAAGAGACATGATTTGTCAATCAAGTGGATGGGTGATTCCCCTGATTCCGGCCTACTAATCTTATTTGTTACAGCGTATGAAATCATAAACCAAATTCTTATTATTTAAATACATAATTATTTGTGACTATTTGCAAAATTAATAAAAAAGATTAAAATTCCATAATTAATTAACTTATTATAAGCAAGTTTATCGTGTAATTTCAAGTTTTGGTTATGATTCCGTATATATTAAGTATTATTAGATCACGTTATTTTTAATTTTCTCGAATCAAATTAAAAATTATATTTTGTCTTTTTAATTATACTAAATTTTAATGATAAAAAAACATGATTCTATTTTAGTCCCTATGTTTTTATAAATTAATAATATTTTCCTCAATAATCTTTGAAAAATAAAGTAAACTACCGATGATGATCACTGAACCTGCGAATAACCTAAAAACAATAAAACCTTAAAATAATTAAAATATGATGATTTAATATATATTGATACAATAGTTAAGAAAATCAAATTTATGCAAACGATAAAAATATAAAATTACTTGTAAAATATAAATTGAATGAGCTATATTAGTTAATTATAAATAATCAATATAAGCCTGAATCCCTAAAGTCAATTCTAACGAGTTATTACTTTGTAAATTATTTATAATAAAAAATTAAAGTTGGTCGAAAAATAGAAATGATGCTATGAATTTACTGATAATAAAAGTCTACGTAGACGCAATACGTTACACAATTTAAAATTATTTATGTAGAGGGTAGTCTAGGCGTAACATTGATTATATAGTTTATCTAGAATAATAAAAATAATAAACTTTATAATTAATTAGCTAAAAACAATTTGGAATAATAAATGTTCACAAATCTGATCGTCCCAGACGTCCCAGTCGTCCCACGGTCCCACTTCAAGAATGATCAACATTAATAAGTTTTGTGCGACATGCGTAATCGGAATTCATACTCCATAAAAATTAACTTAATTTGACATAATTTAAAATTTAATAACTCCCTTTTTTATTTTCTTCGTTTGCAATATGACATGCTCAAAAATATTTTCAGGAGATTTACCCGAATTAGTGGATGAAATTATACAACATTTACGGAATGATATTTCAACATTGTATTCATGTATTTTAGTTAATAGATTATGGTGTCGTTTAGCCATTCCATTATTATGGGAAGATCCATTTTCAACTCCTACCAAAAATTATCATTTCATTGAAATTTATTTACAATATTTGGAAGAAAAAGATAAAGAAAAATTACAAGATTATGGTATTAATAATAATTTAATTCCTTTAAATACATTATTCAATTATCCTAGTTTCATTAAATATTTAAATACACAGAATATTATTTCAACTATTAAACTGTGGGTTAAAGCCGTTAGAAATTTATCAAATCAACCTTCATTACAATTTTATCCAGAATGTGATCTTTTAAAATTTATATATGAATCATTATTTAAGATATTTATTGAAAGAGAAACAAATTTAAATACTTTTGATAATTTTATCTTTTCAAATAATGATCGTGATTATTTTTATATTGCTTTTAAATTAATTTTACAAAATCAAAATTTCATTAATAATATCAAAAATTTAAATTTCACCATTTTTATTACATCACGAATAAATATAACAACACTTATCTCTTATTTAAAATCAATTAATACAATTTCATCACTTAACTATGCCTTTTATGGTTATCATTGTAGATTTAATTCCATAAATTTAAATTATTTATTTACTTCATTATTAAAAAATTCTAATATTTCGAATACTTTAAAAATAATTACTTTTAGTAATATAAATTTTAATAACATTTTTGGTTTTAATGAAATATTTGAACAATTAAATGTTTTAGAATCTATTCATATTATTGATTGTAATTATTTAAATTCTTTCATTCAACAAATTCTTAATATTATCAAACCTTTTAAATTAAAAACTTTATTTATGAATAATGAATTACCAAATATTGAATTATTACAATTATTATTACAAAAATCTGGTAATTATTTAGAAAATGTTAATTTTGGGTTATTAATTAAGAATGAATTAAAACTACAATCACTTGAATTAATTATAAGATACTGTATGAGGATTAAAGTTTTTGAATTATTCGGATTTGATAATCAAAATATTTATTTATTATTCAATTTAATTGAAAATATTGGTCAAAATCTTAATTATCTTTCAATTCATCAGATAAGTGATTCATTTACTAATAATATTGAAACTAGTTTAATTGTATTACAAAATTTAGGTCAAATCCTACCCTTTAAATTAGGATATTTAGATTTAAATCTTATGATTGAAAATGCAAGTGATTTTGAAATATTTTTAAAAAATTCTCAAAATACTTTTATTAATAGATTATGTATTAAAATTATGATTCGTGAAGGTGATGATATTTTACTTTATATAAAAGAATATATTATGAAAAAGAAAAGAGTTAAACATTTGAGTTTTAAGGTGAATAATAATGATTTATTCTTCTTAAAAGATGAAGTAAAAGAATTTGAATTATATAATATTAAGGTTCAAAGTTTTTATTATTTTTCAAGCACTTTATTTGTTTCTTGTATAAAAAGAAAAATGTATTAGTAGTTAATGTACATAAATTAAATAAAATTTTTTATAACGTGACGTGAGAATTTCAGGCGATCATACATAAAATTTATTTGATTATAACACAATTTTATCATACTCTAATCGTACCTATAAAAAGATTCCATCCAATGTTAAAAATATTCGTAGTCTTTTTTTTTTTACTTATTCACACTGATTCCACTCTACTTACACGAGTGCAAAATCTAACTTCTTTCTCTAAGGGGGAAAGAATGATTAAAATATAAATTTATGATTATATAGATTTACCGTTTAATGAATACTTCATTTATTAACAAACCAATTACTAAAAATGGTTCAAGGGCCAAATCATTCATGTAATTAATTTCGTTTAGATAGGTAAATATAGCCTGGATTCTTTTCCTTTCTTTACGATCATTAAGTATCCAGTGTTCAAGATACTAGCAAACATATAAGTTACCTGGTTAATGTAAAAATATTATAATAATAATTATTAGCATAATAGAAATAGAACCATTTAAAAGACCAATTTAAATGAAAATACATACTTACTTTTTTATATTAAACCAAATGATTTTGCAATAATATTCATATCACATTTCAATTGAAGTTTAATTCCTTATATATGTCAAAGGCAAATAAAAAAATTACTATGGGCGATAGTATATTGTCATTCTACTGACACTAATGCATTTAGTTAGTAAAAAAGTAATTTCTCAATAAACAAAGAACATACTGATCAAGAATGTGCGTCTCTAGCGTCTCTGCAAGAAATGTTAACTCACCCTGACTTAGTGATGTTAAATGACATTGTCATTTGACTAATTTTCAATGACATCTAAATTAGTGTTTTGATCGTGTACGGATAAAAACCATGGTATCCGGATATCCAATTATCTGGATACCGCGGTTTTTATATATCCGGATAGAAAATATTCAGTTTAACCTGTTACTCGGATAAAAAAAAATAAATCATTTAAATAATTACTAATTTTATTTAAATTATTATCTATTAATTATTTAGGGTATTGCTAAATATCACCAGTGGTGACGGTCACAATGCCGGTCAGTGTTTTATTAAATTTTAATTCAGGCCAAAAGTGCATCTTAATGCTGGTATGGTGAGCTAAAATAATATTCGATGATCGGCAGTAATTCGGGCCGTCTGTAATGCCAGCCCGAATTTTGCGAAATTGAAATTTGTCAAGACTCAAGACTCGAGGTAAGTTAAACGAAATTTGGGATTTTGTAATTTACCGCCATTGTACGTTTGGCCCAAGTTACTATCAATCTATGATTTAAAAAATTTTTTTTTTTTTAATAGATAGGTTGAATTGATTAATTTTAAGAGTAATATAACAAAACTAATTAGTTTTATGCCTAACCTTTCATTATTTATATAAATAATGTACTTATTGTCAAAATTTTACACTTAAATTTTTCAAAAAATTGACCTAATTCAGGTAAAATTCATAGTACCGGCCGAAATTAAAATTTTATTTTATTTAAAATTAATAAAGTATCACTAATTTATTAAAAATATTATGTCAACTTTTATTTGTTAAGATCAATTGATGAAAAAATTTTCTTATATATATAATCTTCTCCGATTTCAGTTTCTATCCGGATATATCCGGATTTATGTTCGAACTGGATAATCCGGATAATTTTTAAAATGTCATTTGCAAATGACAAATGATAATAAAATGACACATGTTATTTTTAAGTGAAAATGTCATTAATGATAATCATCACAACTAATGCTTTTAATATCATTAGTTATATTAAGAATTTGATGATAATATTGATGGTATCTCCGAAAATATTACTAACAAAATAATTGAAGATATATAGTGAAATTATATAGGTGAATCTGATGGAAGAACATATGATTTTGAAGTAGGTGATCATGATATTCATCCAGCAGATACTAACATGTTAGCTAAATGGAAATTACTTGATTTTATTTGATGAGCCCTTTGATTTTAAACTATACTATAATATATATATAATATCTATTTGCATTATATAAACCAATCAGAAAGTTTAAAATTAGTTTAGTAGTTTAGAATTAGCTTAGAAGTTTAGAATTAGTTTGGAATATAATTTGGAAATTCTAACTAGTTTAAAAAATTGCTATAAGTTTAGAAGGATCCTTTAGAAGCACTGAACAAATAATGCTACATACTTACATGATTATTAAATGTTATATAAATTCCTATATTACTATATTACTCATATAAAATTACATACTAAAGTTAAAACATAAAAAATAAAGAACTAAAATGCCGCAGTTTGTTTTTAAAATAATTCTGGCTATCATTATAGATCACATGATATAATAAATATTATCTACATGACATTTAGATCATTTGTGTCATTTCATAACACTGATCGTTGTACACCGATTGACAAAAGATCTAGCCTTATACTCCATGGGGTGTCATGTGGTGCGGAATTAATAAAAAAAAGGAATGATTTACATGAAATTTTTTGTTCTTTTGTTGCCTTTTTATGGAAAGTTGTACAACTATGAAATTGATAAATTTTATTTCATTATTGAAACGAAAGCAACCTCCCTTCCCTTTTGTTTTAATAAAATGGCATGCTCAAAAGTACTTTCAGGGAATTTACCTGAATTAACTGATGAAATTTTACAATATTTTAAAAAAGATATATCAACATTATATTCATGTATTTTAGTTAATAGATTATGGTGTCGTCTAGCCATTCCATTATTATGGGAAGATCCTTTTTCAATTCATAACCAAAATTATCGTTGTATTGGAACTTATTTATGCTTTTTAAATGAAGATAGCAAAGCAAAATTTAATGAATATGGAATCAATGATAAATTATTACTTTCAAACACATTATTCAATTATCCCAGTTTTATTAAATACTTGGATACATATAAAGTTTGTTGTTCTACTAAAAAATGGGTCTCTACTTCAGTGGGTAAAGGCAATGAGAAACTAGAAAGCTTGGTTTATAGATATTTATTTGAAGTGTTCATTGAAAATGAAGGAATTTTACATTCTTTTGAAGTTGCACTACCTACGGGTATTGATCATAAATATTTTTATGATAATATGGACCTAATTTTAAAAAATCCAAATTTTACATGCAACATCAAAAATTTAAAATTAGATAGTAATGATGATATTCCATTTGAAAATACTATTATTACATTTTTAAAATTTTTATATTCTAATTGCAATTCAATCTCATCAATTTTTTTAAAATTTTTTATTTATGATATCAATAATTGTTCATTAATTGAAAAACATTCATCACAAATGATTGTTTCACAACATAATATCAAAAAAATTTCATTTGAATCTAATCCTATTTTATATAATCTATTATTATCATTAAAAAATTCTAATTGTTCAAATACTTTAAATACAATTATATTTCATTACACTGATTTTAAGAATGTAGTTAGTATTTTACAAGAAGTTTTTGATCATTTAAATGTTTTAGAATCTATTCATCTTATTTATTGTCGTTCTTTAAATCCTGATTTTGTTAAACAAATTATTAAGGTTAATAAACCTTTTAAATTGAGATCTTTGTTTATGGATGAAATATTACATATTGGGTCATTGCAATTACTATTAGAGAAATTTAGTGATTGTTTAGAAAATTTTGGATTTGGACTTATGAGTGATGAATGTGATGGACCGAGACGACAATTATTTAAATTAATTATGAAATATTGTACAAAGATTAAATATTTTGATTCGGGTATACCTGATGATATTAATATTTATCTATTCATTAAAAATAATCAACATAGTATTAATTATCTCACTATTGAAATAGATTTTCACGATGATTGTGCTGGTTTAAGTTCAAGTGTATTACAAAATTTAGGACAGGTACTTCCTTCTAAATTGGAATATTTATGTTTAACTCTTTTATTTAATATAAGTGATTTGGAAATATTTTTAAAAAATTCACAAAATACTTTTATTAAGAAATTAATAATTGGACATATTATGCAAATTAAAGATGAAAATATATTACTTTATATAAAGGAATATATTATGAAGAAGGAAAAGGTTAAATATTTGGCTATTATGTTTGATGATGATTTGGAAAATGAATTATTTTATTTAAAAGACGAAGTAAATGAATTTAAATTACATAATATTATAGTTAGAAAATTCTTTGATTTGTATATTGATGTATATGATTTTATAGATGATTTTAATAATTAGGAAGTTGTATTTTAATTTTATCAATGTCATAAGTCCTTACTAGTTTTCTCATTTCTTTGCGATTTTTTTCTATCTCCTCTTTAATCTCTTTTATCTCTTCAACCTCTTGCTTTGTATTATTTATTACCTCTCAGCTTCGTCTACACGTTAAAAATAAAAATAAAAATAAAAATTTTTTTATTAATAAATAATGAAATTATCAATTTTTTGTATTTTGAATTTTGACAACCATTGTTTAAGGGAACAAAAATTTACACGATTTTTTTTTTTTTTTTTTTGATAATCGTTAAATATTAAAAGAAAGAAAATCCACACGAATATTTTTTAAAAAAGCTTAATTAAAGAAAATTTATACGAATATTTTTTTAAAAAGCTTAATTAAATTAAATTAAACTTTATTATTGTTATGGTCAAGAATTGTGGATTAACTGGATTACGCGCAATACTAAAGTTAATAATTCCTTGTTAAAATCAAATAATTTTAACAAATTTTTATAATTTTTTATTATATTTTATAGAGAAATTATTAATTAGAAATATGATCTAATAGTAAAAATGAAAATATTTTGTACTATGCAAAAGAACATTATGAAAAAAGACAGGGTTAATATTTAGCTTTTTTTAGAGACAAAATGTAAGATAATGATGAAGAACGGCCGAAAATTATAATTTTGGCCCGAATTATAAAAATTTAAAAATTTTAAAAAATTAATTTTTATATTTTTATGGTGAACGAACTGAACGATCACCACTAGTAGCGACAGATCCTTAAATGTTTGTCAAAATTCTGGCCAGAGTTAACATCTTAATTCTGGCAGAGTTTAAATTTTTGGTTGGAGTAATTACCCGGGTAAGTTTTCAATGTATTAAAATAAACTAAAAAAAAAATAGTCATTTATTGAATTTAATATGTATATATATCAGGACCAACAAATCCATCCATTATTTCTTTTTATACTTTCGTATTTCTTCATATTTTTCCTCAATAATAACTTAAATTATTACGAGGAATTTTTATAAATTATAAAAATTTACGAGGTTCATATATAATTTTATAAATTATAAAAATTTACAAATACAAGTATCAAATTTATTAACTTTTTCTTACTATATGTCTATATCACCATTATATTACGTTAATCTGAAGTTATAAAATGGTTTAAACATTGCATGTATTTTTTTTATTTATTTATGTTCTACATTTTAACTGCAACCTTTATTTTGCCAGCCAAATATCTTATTACGACAAAACTCGTTACGACAAAGTAGGCTAATTATTAGCGTTAAACAATATCACATGATTTGTTTTATATTTCAAAATTTACGTAGATTCTAATTTTGCCTAGTGCTTCTACGTCATAGTCCAAGTAGATTATCGTAATTACTATGAACTGTTTTTTGGATATTAAGAAAATCTCTAAAGCATGCGCGTGAATAATTTTATTGCTATTAATACAGACTCGTGAGTGATTTAAGATGAATTTTGCTAAAAAATTACATGAATATTTATTACCTTCGTCATCTTTCAAAAATCATAATTATTCACCTATACCAAATATAAAATTACGCCTTTTCACTCATTTATAATTTTTATCTATTGTTGAGTTCGATAAGAATATTTTTAAAAATGAAGGTACAATTAAGGTAATTTAATAATGCGGAGAACGAATTATTTAAATTTCTTATATCAGGTCATCCATTTATTTTATTTAATTGATCACATGATTATTGCGGCAATGGAGGACCAAAACAAGAATGTGTGATTGCATGGACACAGAAACCTTATATCTAAATGTTTAATTTATTTTTGGATGAAACCCAATTTATCTCAAATAAAAAACAAAAAAAAGGAAATAATTAAATATTTTAATTTATTTATAAATGTTGGGAACTGAAAAAAAAGTCATAGTCGATTATCTTTTTTTAACAAATTAGGACTTCATTTACTGTGGTTTATGTAGTGAACTCAAAAACTATAGATTACGCTATGTCAAAAATGATCATTGATTTATGAAAAATTTTTCTTTGTGATGATACACAAAAATGAGTGTACCTTCTGCTTCTGGCGTTGTTTGACCTAATATTATTGACACAACATTTGTATAACGATAAATAATATACATATGATCATCGCAACTTTGTGTTACCGCCACCTATACCAAAATGCGTACTTCCACCATCATCAAATAGGAACGGCAGTTTGAGCAGCCAGAAACTGAGTCGGAACCAAGAACTGGTTCAGTTCTCTAAATCGGAACAAGTCTGTCCCGCTCGCTTCTTTAAATAGATCTAGTTACAGCTGTATATATTAGTATATGTAGAACAAGAAAAGATTTATTTCGTACTTCATTATATTTATACAAGAAATCAAATTTAAGATAAAATTGCGGTTTTGAACAATCAAATTAATTAAATTGGTAATACTCGTAAGTTGGAATCAGACAAAAAAACTTTAAACGGTTAAAAATCAGTTAATCGGATCATTTAGCCTGACAATAACCGGTTAATTAACCGGTTCATATATTCACATATTTTAACGCGTATTTTAGATATTTATCCCTATCATTTTAGAATCTGTAAAAGAAATTATAATAATAAATTTCAAAGAAAGATATAATGACAATTTCTCAATTCGGAACATCCATTTAATCATTTCAAATGTTTGCGACAAAAAAGAAAGAAGAAAGCTTCTATCTAGGATGATCAAATGATCAACTTATTTTGGATAGAACATAGAACATTTTAAATTCAATTTATCTTAGATGAAAACAAAAAAGGAAATAATAAAAAAAAAAATTCGATTATCTTTTTACAAAAGTAGAACTTCATTTATCGATGATCTACGTAAAAAATCCAAAAACCGTATTTAAGGCTGATTATCATACCAAATATGATCATTGATTTATGAAAATTTCCTTTGTGATGATACGCTTTCCTGATTTTAATTTGGATCAAATATTCAATGAATATTAAAACATACTTTCTTTTTTTTGGAAGATTTACATACATTAAAGTTTCTAATATTATATTTTAAAAAAATTAATAAATTTCATCATTATCTATTTATATTTTTTTATTGTGATAATTTTACAAAAATAGAGAAAAAAATAATATAATCATTTAAATGAATAAATTTTTTTTTTTTAGGATATTATTGCTTTGTGATTAGTTGAAAACACACAAATAAATATAACTATAAATATTATATATATGCGCAATATCACTTTTAAAAATGTATATAAAGAAGTCAAAAACGAATCAATAATAAATCTCAAGTTTAAAAAACTTAAAAACTATTCAATATGGCCTATTTTAAATTTAAGCATAAACACGTACTCATATTCATATTACTGATATTAATTACAACATCATCAACCAATAGCACTTTTCAAAAGAGACAACTGGACCCTTGCCATGCCTGTTTTAAGAAAATTTGTGATTGCGGCGGTCATTGTGAACTTAACGAATGCAATATACCTTGTGGAAAAATAATAACAGAAATTTTAACATGTACTTATACACAGAAAACTGTACAAACTATAATTTCACCTCCAACACCAACACCACCTCCACCTCCTCCAAAGACACTACCACCTTCCCCACCTCCTCCAAAGACACCACCACCTTCCCCACCTCCTCCAAAGACACCACCACCTCCCCCACCTCCTCCAAAGACACCACCACCTCAACCTCAACCTCCAAAAGTTCCAGTACCAGTACCTCCACCAAAAGCGCCACCAAAGGAACCACCAAAAGAACCACTAAAAGCGCCACCAAAAGAACCACCAAATGAACCACCAAATGAACCACCAAAAGAACCACCAGAAGAACCGCCAAAAGAACCGCCAAAGGAACCGCCAAAGGAACCACCAAAAGCGCCACCAAAAGAACCACCAAATGAACCACCAAAAGTGCCACCAAAAGAACCGCCAAAAGAACCACCAAAGGAACCACCAAAAGAACCACCAAAAGAACCACCAAAAGAACCACCAAAAGAACCACCACCACCACTACCAAAAGCTCCACCGACACTAGGTGTAACACCAACACCAACCGTCCCTGCTAAAACAACACCTACTACTTGTACCTCTGGAGATGATCCTGAATGCTTTCCGCCAAATGTGTAAGTAAACATTTACTATAATAATAACCATTTATTTTTTTTTCAAAAATACTAAATTAATTTATCAATTAATAGTGTTCCGATAGTTACAACATATACAGAATCAGGTGTAGAAACGCCAACACCAGTCCCTGAAAACATAAAATTGACAACAACTGAAACAACACTTACATCATACTTTGCTGGTTATTCAACAACGAATTCCTTAGGTGATCCTACATTCGTCCCTCCATCCACTCTATATGTGGTGAAGAGTATGGCCGTTACTGAAGCTCCTACCAGTACTGTAGTTTCAGATTCTGCGACAATTTTACATGATACTAATAGTCATGGTTTATGGGGTGTTACTATGAGTTTGACCGTAATAACTGCAACTTTAATTTTTATGATAATTGCGTAAAAAAATGAAAAAAATGTAAAATTTTGCTTTGTTGTTTTATTTTTGTAAACTTTTGATATATACCCACAGTAAATATGCATTATATTAATTATATTATTATTTGAATTTCATAAAAGAATGTAATCGTTCGAAATATAGTTTTTTAGTATTATAACTTTTATTTTCACGTGAAATAACATTACTTCGAAATCTTCAGTTAAAACATTTTTTTATTTTTAGTACAAATAAAAGCAAAGAGCAAGAAATATTGTAAAAACTAAACACGAAAATGAAAAAATTTAAGAAAATTTATAATAGATAGTGATTTAGAAAGTTGAGAAAAGCAAAAAAAAAACAATAAATAAAATAAAACAAGAACCAGTCTTGTAAATAATAATACAGGAATTATAATAAAGCTAGATGAAAAGAATTGAATCGATAATTTTCTTCTGTATAAGAAAAATGTATTATAACCTTAAAATGTCCACTAAATAATAAATATTTTACGAAAAAAAGCTCAAATATGTATAAAAAAAAAATAATTCTTCGACAATAGGATAACATAATTATTTTAATGAAATTAAGAAAGAAGAACTCAAGAATCCTTTTGTGAAATTAATAACAAAATCTTTCCTTATGTTGTTGGTGACCTGATCAATTGTCGTTTAAATTTCCACAGATGTAAGGATATGACGCATCAAGTTCTTGCGAAATTACATTTTGTGGTATCGAAATATCATTTATACCCTTATTATTAATTATTATGCACTGTTGCTAGTTGCGTTGAAATATAATTATGATTATTTAATTGAATTTTATTTTTTGTTTTCGCTGTAACGCGAGATTTTCGAGAACTGGTTTTATTGTGAGTTGATAATGTGCTACAAAATTATCAGAACGCCAAATCTTTTACTACACCCAGGATAACTACAAATATACTTCCTTCACCAGGATCTTCCCCAGCGTCGCCCCAAGATTTTCACCCCACGTGACCTGCATAAAATGTCACCCGTATCACACCTTGGGGCGATACTGGGGTAAATTTCACCAGGTGAGTAATCACGTGACGTTTAAGATGTTCAAGTCTTTCAGGCCAATCACATGCGTAACGGCTCTTAGCAGAACAACTGGTTGAATTAGAATTGCGTTGAGATTTAGGGATGGAATCGGTTCAAAATGAGTTGACTTGAGCCGATTCTGGAACCGATCTTAAATTTAAAAGATTCTGGAATAAAAACCGTTCTGAACTTCGAACCGATTTCGAACCGACTACTCAAATTGAGTGACGATCACACACAAACTATCATTTGAAGGCCAATCAAAATTTTTCTGATTGATCATCACATGCTCTACTTGTGTCTTAAATTTGATTTATAAAAAAAATTTAATCAGTAAATGATAATTCAAATAATTTTAAGCAAGGCAGGTTTCTTTAAACTAACCCTCGGGAGTAGTACTTCAATTTAAATTTTGAAATTAAAAGTACCTTATTAATACAAAATAAAAATGGGATTAATGATCTCGTTGCATTAAAATTAGTAGCGGATGGAAGTAATATTAAAAATCAAGTTACAATTTTAAGATAATTAGAAGAATGTGAACCAAGATTTATTGAATGTATTATTTAACATGCATTTTTACATATAAAATTTTTACATGAAAAAACCGCCTAAAAAAAGAAAAAACGAACAGTAAGTCATGTTCGTTAATATACACAAAAAGACAAAATAAAATAAAAAACAACACCCCGGTAAATAAGAAAAAAAAAATTTTTTTGAGTTATACCGAATCTTACCGAGTTTCTGGAGTAAAAATGATGAGCGTCCCGACCATCCCGTATATAACGAAATCAGCTGTAACCTCTACCGAGTTTTACCGAAATGCCGTACCATTTATTCAACTATAATAAATAAATTACTTCATATGTAAATTATAGTAACTGAACTTGCTGAGTTACTATTAAAATAAGAAGGATCTTTTCTATTCCGAATATATTAAAAAAAAACATTATAATCCTAAAAGTTTTTTAAGTGACGAAACAAGACATCCATCTCTTTTTTCATGAACGGTTAATGATAATAGAGAATCAGCTTTTTTTTTGCAAAAAAAGTATATTCATAGTTTATATATAGTTTTTTTAGTTTAACATTGTTATTTATACATATTAAAAAAAAAAAAAAAAAAATCAAATCAGTTAAGTATAATGAAATTTTAAATCAATTTCCAGAAATTTCCAGCAATTAAAATAGATTTATCCATGTTTATTTTTATGGATATCGATACTAAATGTAAATTTTGAATCAAATAACTCAATTTTGGTTATTACATTCGTTAGATCTTAAATTATTTACTTAAAATTATCAAAAAAAAAAGAAAAAAAATCAATACGCTTATGACATAAAATATGTTTAACTTTATTTACATAAATAAAATTAATATGAAGGTAATTTATAAAATAATAGCTTAATTTTTATTTGGAAATTATGAATTGATTAATTATCTTTACTATTAATATACTTTTCTCTAAAATTTTCTTTTAATTCATTATCATTCAATAATAATATAGACAAATTTTTTATTACATATGCCAATTTGTTCGTTGGACCAAACATCTTTTTAATACATTTATAGACAAATTCATATATGAGTCAGAAATAATACTTTTAATATATAAATTTAAAACTTCAGATTATACGGATTTGTCAATTAGAATTTGATTAGATTTTCCATAATCACATTAATAAATTAAAATACAACTTCCATTCTTGAACTCTGGTCTTTATTCATCAAAATTATTTATAAAACTATATGAACTAAAATGTAAATCAGAGAATTTTTTAACTGTAATATTATATAATTTAAATTCATTTACTTCGTCTTTTAAAGAAAATAATTCATAATCATCATCATCAGAAATAATAGCCAAATATTTAACCCTTTCCTTCTTCATAATATATTCCTTTATATAAAATAAAATATTTTCACTTATATCATACCTAAATACAATTAATAATTCCTTAATAAAAGTATTTTGTGAATTTTTTAAAAATATTCCCAGATCACTTGTATTATTAAATGAAAGATATAAATTTAAATATTCTAATTTAGGAGGAAGAACCTGTCCTAAATTTTGTAATATAGAACTTAAATCAGTATAATTAGAGTGAATAAAATCCAATCCAATAGTAAGATAATTAATATTATGCTGATTGTTTTTAATGAATAAGTAAATATTATTATCATAAGGTTTACCAGAATCAAAATATCTAATCTTTGTACAATATTCCATAATTGATTTAAATAATTGTCGTTTTGGTTCATTATATTCGTTACTCATATATTCAAATCCAAAATTTTCTAAATAATCACCAAATTTCTCTAATAGTAATTGTAATGATTCAACATGTAATATTTCATTCATAAATAAAGATCTCAATTTAATTGGTTTATTAACCTTAATAATTTGTTGAACAAAATCAGAATTTAAAGAATGACAATATAAAATATGAATAGATTCTAAGACATTCAATTGATCAAAAACCTCTTGTAAAATACTAATTATATCCTTAAAATCAATGTAATAAAATATAATTATATTCAAAGTATTTGAACAATTAGAATTTTTTAATGATAAAAATGGATTATATAAAGTAGTACCTAAATCAAATGAAATTTTTTTGAGATTATGTTGTGAATTAATTATTTGTGTTAAACATTTTTCAATTAATGGACGATCACGAATGATATCATATAAAGGAAAATTTAAAACCATCGATAAGATTGAATTGCAATTAGAATATAAAAATTTTAATAATTTAATAATATTTTGAGGATCATAATCATGAATACGGAATGTTAAATTTCTAATATTATATGTAAGGTTTGGATTTTGTAAAATCAAGTCTATATTATTAAAATAGTAACTATAACTTGTAGACAGGTCGACTTCAAAAGAATATAAATTTCCTTCATTTTCAATAAAAATTTCGAGTAATGACTTATAAATTAAGTTTACTAGCTTCCCTTGGTTTTTACCCACTACAGTATCAACCCACGTTCGAATAGAACTTAAAATTTTATCTATATTTAAGTATTTAATAAAACTAGGATAATTGAATAATAATGTATTTGAAGATATTAAATTATTATTAACTCCATATTCATATAATTTTGTTTTGACATCTTCATTTAATTTACTTAAGTAAATTTCAATAAAGTGTTGATTTTTGAGATATTCCCTTGAAAATGGATCTTTCTTTGGAAATGGATCTTCCCATAATAATGGAATGGCTAAACGACACCATAATCTATTAATTAAAATGCATGAATACAATGTTGAAATATCTTTTCTAAAATACTGTATAATTTCTTCTGTTAATTCAGGTAAATCTCCTGAAAATATTTTTGAGCATACCATGTTAGTAAAGGAAAAGGGAAGAGTTCGTTTCAAAAATAAAATATCTTCAATTTCAGATTTGTACAATTTATTTAGTATTCCAAACACAAAAATTACATGTAAATCATTCCTTTTCTGTTAATTCCGTGCGATTAACAAAGGATCTACTAATCTTACAAGTCCCTTGGTACAATTCCGGGTTGCCGATCTCTTTTATTTGTTACATATGAAACCAACTTTGCTACGCAAATATTGGCACTGTTGGACTGCCGTATAACAAAAATACCCTAGATTTTACCTTTAAGGCTTGAGCAGATAAAATATATAAGAAAGTAAATTACTTATGATAAACTAGTTGTATACTGAATATTCTAATCTAGATCGATATACCAATCTATATTAAAAATTCGATATAACGACAAATATTCCTGAAAACAATTGTGGCTTATAATACTTTCAATAAATTCTTTTACAATACGACACAATTTACAGTATTTTTTTTTTTTTCAAAAAAAATATTTTCATGATGACGTCATTATCATGTATCAGTCACGTCTATTCTTACTAATCAGTAATAAGAGAGATTATTGAAGACTACTAAAAAAGCATGTTGCATAGCGCGTATTACTAAAATAAGATAGACTACAATCATGTGTCATTGTTATTTTGAACGTATATATAGCCTCAGAAACTTCGTAAATACCAAACTTATTCTCTTCTACTTTTCCACATATTTTTTTACACTTCTCAACGAAAATGCAAGGTAAAGAAGGTACTATTGTCCTCTTCTTTCACATGAGGCTTCTTTGATTAATAAAGGTCTATTAATCCCGGAGGAGGCATCGATTACGTGCCTTCCCTTATATTAAGAAATTTCATGCTTTTCCTCCCTCGCTGGTGGTAGGCTTTTCCTTCTATCCCTAGCTGGTGGTAGGCTTTTTACACTATTCTGGAATTTTTATTAAACCCATTTAATTTTTAATGTTAATAAGTGATCGAGATCTGTACGTCTGAGGACTTTTCAAATTTTTTCGCCGGACAAGATCTACAAAGTGTAAAATAACTTGATTATAAATTGGGTGGAATTGAAATTTTGAAATGTAAAAATAGTGCACATTAGAAGAACGGAAAACTTAAAGTAACTGTTATAATCAATGACTTATGTGAATTTTAAACATCAATAATTTCTAACAGATGATTCAAAATTTAGTTGGGGCCATTTACATTTTCAAATGAAAAAAGAAGCGATCCGATTTTATGATCTTGTTAAAGATCAACTACCAATAACGGGACCTTATGGAAAAAAATTTATATTCAAACGGGCCAGAAAGTCGAACAATGATTTAACTTTTCCAACCTCAAGACTAACTTCTTCGCTGTCATCTTCTACATCGGAATATAATGGAACCAGTACCAACAACGGCAGTGTTACCTCTTCTCGGGATAATCATAATAAATAACACACAGAACAAGGATGGAAAAAGCGTTACGAAATTAATAAGATATAGTGATCGGATAAACTAATATCACATTATTAGAGGCCTATTCCTTTTATATTTAACGAGAAGTGGCTGATTTATATGTATTTTTTTTGTAGAAATATATGAAATTGTTACTAAATTCCTGATGGTTCGTCTATTTTTTAATATTATTAATAATATAATAAAATAATAAAATTTTTTTATTTATTAATTAATTATTTTATTTTATTTTAGATAGATTTTAAACTATTTTTACAAATTTTATTGATAAGAATATCAGTCAATTATTATTTTATTTTGAATTATTTAAAACTAAGATTAGAGTATTATGTAGTTTCTTAGTTTGTAATTTAAATAATTATTTTTTTCATATATTAAACTTATTCATTTATTAAATAAAGGTATTTACAAATTTATTATATATACTACAAATTATTATGTGAATGTCGTATGATTTGTAAAATATATTAATTTTAAGTATTAATATGCTATTTATTTAATAAGTATTTTAATTAAAAAAGTTAATAATCTAACAAATGATAAATTATTTATTCATTTCTAAAACATCAATTTTCGTATCTTTTGCATAATTCACCTTCTGTTCGTGCATTATAATTCAAACATCTAGGACATTTAAATAAAGAAGCCCTTTTAATTATAATCTTACAAATCCAATCAGGTAAATAAACTTCGTTAGTACATATCGAAGTATTATTTGAACAATTCTCAATCATTTCCAAAGACGAAGATATTGTTGCATCTGAAGTTGTAAAAATAGATTTTAAATCTAATAATTTAATACAAAAAGGATGATTAAAAAAATAAATTAAAGTTCTTTTAATGAACAACAATATGTATTACAGTACATTATCATGACTTTGTAATAAATGTATTAATTCTGAAGAATTTACATATAATTCTACATTAGACTCTAAAGAACTTTTATATGTCTATATAAATAAATTTTAAATGTCATTTTTTTTAAAAAAAATGGATAATCAATCAAATAAATAAAACCAAAATATTAAAGCATACTTGTCTTTTCTGGCAGCTTCCTTTACTTCTTAAATGCTTTAAAGTATTCCACTCTTATTGCAAAGGTTGATTATTCCATTTTTCATCCTATAATTAGTGAATATAATTAATTTTTTTTTTAAAAAANGTATTAATATGCTATTTATTTAATAATTATTTTAATTAAAAAAGTTAATAATCTAACAAATAATATAAATTACTTATTCGTTTCTATAACATTCTCACGTATCTTTCCGAATATAATTAATTTTTTTTTTAAAAAAAAAAAAAGAAATAGCAAAATTACGTACCAAATCATACCACCCTAACTTGAAATAGTACACTATCAATTCCCTTATGCCTACAAGACACGGAACTATTGGTGATAATGATATAGTATATATATTTAAAACCTATAAAAACAAATTCTGATTAATAAATAAAAATATAATTTACGAATATAACTTACTTCTTGTGAATTTAAGACGGAAAAATAATAAAAAATTATTAATTATAAAATTATAAACCTTTTTAATAAGACATATTCTTAATATTTACTTACTTGAATCAATTACTGGGAACTTCATAAACAGATTTGCTCACGATATTCTAATTCTGCTTCAGCTAAAGATGTACTAAAAAAAAAGATTAAAGAATGAATTTAAATATTTTTGAGAATAAATTTACAAATACAAATTTACATTTTACGGCTACCTTAAAGAAGGAGGCCAATATATGGGTTTATTTTGCCTGTAAATCTATCCTTAAAAAAGAATAAGCTCGTCAATTTACTTTGGTAAAATAATAATAATACTTTCTTAGAGTCATGCTATAAAGCACCTGTAACTGTTTAACTTCGTATTCATTTTCTAAATTCAACCCATTATTAAGAAAATACCATACGAAAAATTAAAAAAAAAATCGTAAAAAGCTTTTCATACCCAAAGTTCTTTAAAGAATTTCCCAATTTCCCATAATCCCATTATGCTCAACTAATAAATTCTTTTCTTTGAATTTCTATTCTAAAACGCTTTTTTGCTACTTCTCCAATTTGTAATGGCGTTAAATATTTTTCAACGTCCTAAAGAATATGTCATTTTATCAAAAATAATTATTTCGAATTATAATTGGACGGTAAAACAAATAATAATAATCTTACACTTAATTCGTTAATGCTTTTAATTCAATTGAAAACCATCGACAATCACATCCTGGAATTTAACTTAATAATATTAACGTACATAAAATATATAGAGTATACAAAAAAGTAATCCATATCAATTATAAAACTTACTTATGTAATACCTTATAACAACTGAATCTATAATGTCTTTTCAATAGCGTGTGACCTAAAAATACATCAAATAATTTTAGATTTTTATAAAATGAATTAAAATGAATTAAAAGATGAAAATTACAATTACTTGTGTATAAGTTTCCATTCCATTAGCATAATGTGGCCATCATGTGATATAAACATTACTTTTGGAATATTTTCTAATAATAAACAAATTTCAATAGCTAAAATATTTACAAAAAAAAAAGAAAGAAAGAAACAAGTATCAAAAAAAAATCTTAAATACCTGCCATTTGTATAGATCTTTAAAGCATCGATCTTGAAACAAAATTTCTCTATTAACAGCATCAGCCCTTAATGGGAAGTTTTGTTTTTGGTAAAAATAAAGTATCACTATATAATTTACTTAAATCATTATTATTTCTTTTTTTTTTGATGATTCGTCAATTATTTTTGAAGAAAATTTTTAATAACAATGTCCTTGAAAATTTTAATGTAATTTATTTTCTTTTTCGTAATAAATTGTGATAAAACATAATTAAGTTAATTTTATTAATCGAGAGGAGAAAGATCTCGTCGATCAGCAAAAAAAAAAAAAAAATTTCACGACTGAAATAAATACTTGATTTTTTATTTGGTGTCCAAATTCGGTTGTGATTTTCAATTTCTTTATATCATCTTTACGTGACCAACTTTTTCACATAATTAATTTAATTAATTCATCTATAAAATTTCACATCTTTACGAAAAAAAATTTTTTGGTTAGTGTCACGCATAGATCATTATAAAAAGTCATTTTGTTATCTACTGGAAAGAGGAATAAATATCTGGTTTATTTATTTTACGTAATTTCTTAACAAAATTATTTTTTGTTATTATTTTACACATGCTTTTATAATTACTTTAAAAAATGTCATGTATTCATTTTATTATATATTAAAAAATAATAAATAAAATAACCGTATATAATATATATTTTATCAATTAATTCTTTCCGTAAATACAAGTTTTAAATCAACGGGTCTCAATAAAAATTGAGGTGCTAATAATAATTTATCCTTATTAATGCTATTTTTAGGGAGGGTCCAATTATATTTGAGCACTTTAAAAAATAAAAATGTTAAAAAGATATGTCATTAATTAATTTTAATTAAATTTTAAATTATTATTATAAATAAAAAATTTTAATTACTTACATAACATTGAAATAATAACTTTTTGTTCCATTAAAGAAAAATTTTGTCCAATACTATAAAAATAAAAAGAAAAACAAATATTTTCAAAAACTTACTTTTAAGAAATCGATTAAATGATTTATTGGCTTAACGTTAGGGTATATAATTATTATTATACATACCAATTTCTCGGACCAGCAGAAAAAGGAATCCAAGCAAATGGATGTCTTTTTTCGTTATTTAGGAATCTTTCAGGATTATATTGTTTTGGATTTTCCCAATATTTTGGATCATGATGAATTTGCCAAGCATTTACTAGGAGTGTGGTGTTTATTGGCAAAGTATATTTATCAATCTTAACTGGTTTCTTTAATTTTCTAAAAGTTATTACTGGTACCGGTGGATGGATTCGTAAGGATTCTTTAATTATTGCACTAACGTATTTCAATTCCTAAATATATAATATTTTTGTTTTTTTTTGAGTATAAAATTAACTTGTAAAATATGAGAGCGGAATGATTATAATGATTTAATACCTTTAATTGATCCGAATTTGGTAGTGTATTTGGAAAGTTACCGAGAATACTAATCACTTCTGCTCGTGCCTTTTCTTGCATTTCCTATTTATTTTGAATTATAGTATATATCAAAATTTTAATTAAATAAAGAATACAATACATATCATAATTTTTAAAAAACACTTACTGGATATTTTGCAAGATAATAAAGCGATACACTCAACGACATCGAAGTTGCTAAAAAAAAATTTTAAATGAGATGATAAATAACAAATAATTCATCCCCTGATATCGAATGTTGTCTAAATAAATTACTTACTATCATGACCTGCGACAAAAAAATTTACCATCTCATCTCTTAACTGTTTTACATCAGTATTAATTCCTTCCTGTTCACCAAGTTCTAACATACTTGTTAATAAGTCATGACCTTTATTATAAGGATTTTTTTTAATTTCATTTCTCTTTGTTTCTATAATATCAAAAATAAATCCATCAAATTCTTCGATTGCATTCATGAATTTTTTGTTAGATTCTATAGGTAATTTACTTATCCAACGAAATACTCGACGGTAAGGAGATACAATAGTTGAAATAACGTATTTATAAACCTTTATAATATGAGGAGTTTCTTCAGATTCTAAACACTTTATACATTTTTTAGTTTTATGTTAGTAATAACTTATAAACATGACAAACATGCCAAAAATTTTTCTCAAACTTACGCCAAATTTATATCCAAAAGCCAATTTTCCCAGAACTTCAATCGTAGTACGTTGCATAATTTCGAATACGTCAATTGGTCGGTTTAAATTTTGTTGAATGAAGGAAATAAGATCTAATGTAGTTTCACCAACCATTTCTGGAGATAATGCATTATTGAACGCTGGGGTTGCTAATTTCCTATGAGCTCTCCATTTCTGTAAAAAAAAGTTTAATTTTACTTAGAAAATTAATACGAATAATAATATCAATGTTGAGTTACTTACGTCACCATTAGAAAATGGTAATCCATTTCCGAAAAATTTATATAAAATACTTGTAGGATTCTGTTCAGACTTAGGAGCAGCATCCTCTATCCAAATAATTTTATTAATTAATAATTTTTTTACTAAAATTCTATATTGAAAAAAAAAAAAAATTTACCTACCTGATTGAGTTAATAAAATTTTAGCATAATCAGGGCTTGCAATGTTTAATTGTATAAATGAGCCGAAGCGACTCTAAAATTATTAAATATAATTTTTAGGATATACCGGTATATGTACAGTTGTGTGTATCATGTGACATACAAAATAAAATCCATGACCTCCTGAGAGATTACGAATTAAATCTCCAATTTCATCGTAATTTCTTTGTCGTAAATATGCCCATGCTACGGGTAATCCAGAAATAAATGGAACATCTTCAAATCCTTCAGGTTTTTTATTTTTTTTAAAAGCATATTTATAAATAATAACCAAAATAATAGCGAAAAATATTAATCCAACCATTTTTCCAATTAAAAAAGGAACTTGTACGTGTATATATATGGGTAAAAAAATTCACGGGCCGACTTAACCTCCAGGATTTGTTACGCGAAATAAATCATGAACCTAGCATGACGATCCTGATGTGGGGGTTCAACGGGGTCATGCTGTCATACTCAACTTGGTTTAACAATTTTAAGATGAAAAAATGAACGTTCGGAAATTGAACGTAACAATGGATAGCTTCTGCAAAATTTCGCTGAAACGAAAAAAAATTAATCAAATTATTCCGGATATTTTGGATATTCATGGACAAAAATAAGAGAATTTCGGATTGACGTCATGTGATTTCATGTTTTTTGGCTTACTGAAGTTATCATTTTTCTCGTAAACAATAATTTTATTAGTGGTACCTCATACAGACCGTCATACAGTTTGTGTAACAAGATTTAACAGATTTGGAAATTAAATTCTCGGATCAAGTATTAGTGATTTTCCCTTCGTCTTTTATTAAAAACAATTAATGTTACGCAAGAAAGCCAACTGCACATTTCAGATAGTCGTAATCTTTTATTTATATATATTATAAATAAATTATAGTAAATATGAAACATACGTATGTTGTAATAGATTTTAGGCAGAACTTATCTAGATTTGGTTAACCTTAAAAATAATGTAAGTATTCTCAAAGATAATTAGCTAATAGATTACAATATGACCTAAAGATGTTTACTATTAATTAAATATATAAATATAATAATAATTTGTTAAGAGAGTGGTTTAAATTAGTAAAAAAAAAAATGTATGAAAATTAATAAAAAGTAAAGTAAATTCGGATAAAATAATTTATTAGACGAAAAAAGAGAATTCACAGAATCAATTAATTCGGCGCTTAGTTCTGAATAAATATTAATACATTACATAGAATATTGAATTTTTTTGTTAGTTATATAAATTACTTTATTATTTATTCTATTTAATCTACTCCAATACTAAACGAACAATAAAATTCTGAAATTTTCTGAAATTTTGTTACAAAAAATGATAATAGCCTCGCTCATAAGTAGATTTAATAGTAATAGAAGCTATTTTAGATAATAAAATTTGCTTTTTTAAAAATTAACATTTCTATTGAATAATAAAAAAATGACAAATCAGAATATGATAGTGTTATAACTAAAATCGGCACTATAGTAAAATGAGCTTCTATGATATAATTGACATATATACTAATATGATTTCCATTACGGAATTAAAGAACTACTGTGCAAGCCAAATTACCAATGTCTTTTGATAAGCAGTCATACAATAATTACTTACTGAAAATTTCCAACATTGTGTAATTTTAGCAGGTGAGAGAAAGATCGGTTGTCATTTATTTAAAAAATGATTTAAAAAAAGTTTATTTTTTTTTTTCATTATTTTTTGGTGAAAAAAACAAAAAATAAAAAAAAAATAATTAAAAAAATTTATTTTTAGATTAAAAAAAAAATAAAACTTTTAGCTTTAAAAAACCGAATATTTTGCTGTACCGTTCCAAAGGGTGTGAATGGCCAAAAAAGAAATATGAATAAGAAAAAAACTTTTTTCGTTAGTATTAATCCTGACAGTCAACCAAATTATTCATATAGTTCGAGGCTTCGAGCGCTGTTATCACGTGTTTCCATGTTACATAATTCAAATTAAGGTCAAAGGGTAATTCAAATAATTCAGGGCCTGATACGGCGATACGCCTTATAGTCTTTTTTGTACTATTTGGCAGAACAATTCCTAATTTTCTGGGGTTAGCTAGTTACTTATATATATTGATATAGTCTGCCTTTTTTTAGGGTTAGCATTCTTTGTTTTGTACACTGCTCTGTTTCTCGTCGTTAAATTAAAAATAAATTAAAATAAAATTCAAACGTGTCACGATTTTTTTTTAGTAGTTTAATAAAGAAAAAAATTAATCAAGAATTTTTAAATCAATTTCAAATTTTTCTCAGAAATTTTCTTTAAACCTGATTCACCCATGTTTTCTTTTTATGATATCGATACAAGAATTAAAATAAAATATATCGTAATTATAAATTTTGAAAAAATGGGAATCTTATATTCGTTAATTCTTTACCAGTTTATTTACATAAATAATGTTTATGTGATTTAACATTACCTTAATATCCAGATACATTGTAAATCAAAGAAGAGCTCAATAAAGAAGTGCGTGTTACCAAAAAAAAAGGGTAATTTATTAAAATTGATTTAATATATTACACGTGATTTATACGACACTATACTTAAAAGCCATTACTAATCCTTTTTTCTGAGATCAACATTTATATTTTTACATTTATAAATTATAATATTGTAAATAATTATTATTTATAAAAATATATGAATCAATACATAAATCATCATATGGTTGAACTATAATATTATGTAATTTATATTCATTTACTTCATCTTCGGAAAGGTATAAATCGATTATATCCATATTATAACTATTAGGACCTGATTGTAAAATAGCCAAATATTTAACCCTTTCCTCCTTCATAATATATTTCTTTATACAAAATAAAATATTATCATCCTTATCCGGTACTATATTTCCAATTAATAATTTCTTAATAAAAGTATTTTGTGAATTTTTTAAAAATATTTCCAAATCATTTGTTCTAAAAGAAAGAGATAAACATAAATATTCTAATTTAGAAGGAAGAACCTGTCCTAAATTTTGTAATATAGTTGAACTTAATTCATCATAAATAATATACATGTCAACATCTAATTCAATAATAAGATAATTAATATTATGTTGATTATTTTTAATAATTAATTAAATATTATTATCATTAGCAGGTATACCAGAATCAAAATAATTAATCTTTTTACAATATTTCATAACATATTCAAATAATTGTTGTTTTTCTGGTATTATTACTCCATATTCCTCTCCTGAATTTCTATTTCTAAACCCAAAATTTTCTATACAATCACCAAATTTCATTAATAGTAATTGTAATGATTCAATATGTAATATTTCAATCATAAACAAAGATATCAATTTAAAAGGTTTATTAACCTTAATAATTTGTTGAACAAAATCAGAATTTAAAGAATGACAATCAATAAGATGAATAGATTCTAAAACATTCAATTGATCAAAAACTTCTTGTAAAATATTAATTAAATTTTTAAAGTCAATATTATTAAATATAATTGTATTTAAAGTATTTGAACAATTAGAATTTTTTAATGATAAAAATGGATTATATAAATTAATAAAATATCCAAATGAAATTTCTTTGAGATTATGTTGTGAAATAATTATTTGTGATAAATAATTTTCAATTAATGAATTATTAGTGAGTAATTTTTCAGGAAATTCAAAACAAAATGTTGAGATTAAATTGCAATTAGAATATAAAAATTTCAAAAATGGTATAGTATTTTGAAATACACATCTAAATGAATTAAACCTATTACCAAATATTAAACCTCTGATATTGTATGTAAGGTTTGGATTTTGCAAAATTAAGTCTAAATTATCATCAAAATATTTATGGAGATAAGAAGTAGACAGTACAACTTTGAGAGAATATAGATTTCCTTCATTTTCAATAAACACTTCAAGTAATGACCTATAAACTAAGTTTCCTAGCTTATTTCTTAGCTTATAATTGCATTTATCCACTAAAGTAATAACCCAATTTTGAATAGAATTATAAATTTTAATTGTATCTAAGTATTTAATAAAACTGGGATAATTGAATAATGTATTTGAAACAAATAAATTATCATTAATTCCATATTCATTAAATTTTGCTTTGTCATCCTCATTTAAAAAGCATAAATAAGTTTTAATACAATGATAATGTTGGGTAGGAATTGAAAATGGATCTTCCCATAATAATGGAATGGCTAAACGACACCACAATCTATTAACTAAAATACATGAATATAATGTTGGTGAATCTTTTCTAAAATACTGTATAATTTCATTTGTTAATTCAGGTAAATCCCCTGAAAATATTTTTGAGCATGTCATGTTATTAAAAGAAAAGGGAAGGGAGGTTGCTTTCATTTCACAATGAAATAAATTTATCAATTTTTGGGTTGTACAATTTATTTAATATCCCATAAAAAGATAACAAAAGAACCAAAAATAACATGTAAATCATTCCTTTTTTAAATAGACTTGTGACATGAAATATAAGGTTAGAACCTTTGTTAATCGAGTGGACAAGGTTGTAATTCCGGCTTGCTGATCTCTTTTATTTAGTACCCTGTAAAAAAGCTAATCCATTTTTTTATATACCGTCTTTTTCCATAAAGGCTCATATTTCTGTAATGAATAACCTTATATCACAGAATTTATCGAATTATTTTTATTTTCCATGAATGAATCCGGGAAAGGCTAGTTTTTGCAGAAATAAGTGACAAAATTTTTTATAGGGCTACAGCGTATGAAAAATCTTTTAATTGAGCACATCATAAAGTGAATTCTTATTATGACGAGAACGTATATAATTATTCGTAGTAAAAAAGATAAAAAAGATAATTAATTAGCTTTTTATAAGCAAGTTTATTGTCCAATAAAAAATTACTACGTAATTTCAGGTTTCGGCTAGGATTTCATGTATATGTTGTGCGTCAGCCGTCAGATACCGATTGCGTCAGATGTCTATCAACACTTTGATGTGCGTCAGTTAATAATTGACGACTGAGGTGCGTCAGTTGTCGTTCAACGCAATATCAATGAAATTAAAAATTTTATAGTTTTATTCTTATTCAATCAAGAAATTTTGTTGCAAAACAAATGTTAACAGTTTCACAGCAGATAGATTCAATAGTAATTGAAGCCATTTTAGATAAATAAACAAAAGGTAAGATTGTTGTTTCTTTTTATTGCGCATTCCACTATAAAATTTGATATAATAAATTAGAAATATGACAGTGTTATATTATAACTAAAGCAGCACTACAGTAAAATAAGCTACTATTATATTATCCTTTATTAAATATTTTTCTTAAATTGACCTTATCTAGGTACGTATAATTTAATATAATTTCCATTACATAAAAATTAAAAGTCAAAAAAGGAATTTCTTATAGAGTATTCCATTAACTTAAAAATCTTTTAGGATTATGTATTCATGTGTAAAGTTAAAAGGAATATTACATTATAAAGCGTTAAAGTGACGAAAAAAGACATCTATTTCTATTTTTAATAAACCTTAATGAATGACTAATATAAATAGACAATAATAAAGGATACAAAAAATATTCATATAAATAATTTCGGTTTAAGATGAAAATAATAAATCTACATTAATTTTAAAAGTAATTTACCCATGTTTTTATTGATACGAGAACAAAATATTTTTTGTCGAAATTATAATTTTGGTTATTAATTCTTGAGTATTACCAATTATTTATAATGTGATTTGTTACCACAAAGTTTAATTTATTAAAATTTAGTACTTGTTTGGTTAATAACTAAAAGTAAAAATTAAGGCTTATTAAATGTAAGAAATTTTACTTTCAACATACTAATCGTTTACTTCCCATAGCTTATGACTTTATTGACGCACATGTACTTATTATTTTATGATTTAATTTCAAACTTAAACATCCTTTATTGAATATGAGATGATGCTCAGCAGGTGTAAGAGTACCCAAATAATGATTTTTATCAATTTAACTTCTAAATATTTGTAAAATTTAAACTTTAAATAATTTGTTTTGACACTTTATTATGTAAAATTATATTTACTGTGCATGATAATTTCAGCACTTTAATTAATCAAAGGAGTTTTCACCAATTAAGTGGTTTTAAATTTTTAATGAATTATGATTAATTCAACGAAAATTTCCTTATTTTTTTGTAATGATATTTAATATTCGACAATTTTCATTATGAAATGCTTTATTTTATAAAAATTTATTAAATATAAATCTGTAAAATTATTTTCAATGAAACAATATCACAATCAATAAATTTCAATGGTTGGTAAATCAAGTGTATTATACAGTATTAATTCCTTCGTAATTTTTGTACGAAATAAAAATCCAGACTGTCGGATGATGATCTAGTACAAAAATTTAAAATATTTCATTTTGTACGAGGTCTATATTGTACAATTACTAAATTAATAATGGCGTTTACCTGTTTACCTAAAAATAGCATTATTTTTATTTGTAGCATTTCATTATTTGTGTAATAGTCAATTTGGTTTCACAACTGACTGTCGCATAATAAAAGGTAACTCAACGGGTTTAATGGTTACACTATTTTTTGCGATTGTTTTCTTTTTTTAATAAATGCACTTTTATAATAATTATGTCTACTATTCGAATGAACCTAATAAGTGCAGCAATTAATAGAGCATTTATATTAATTGATTATAATTATACTAACTATGATTTTCACAAAGGATACGAATTTATGCAACAAACAATTCTTGCTGATAATTCTCTTACAGAAGAAGAAAAAACTGAAGCAATAAGATTAAGTAATAGAAATTATGATCGAGATAAAATTCTTTATAATTCAGGAACAAGAAGAATTTGTGAAAATTGTAACCAAAAATGTTTAGCTACATTATATTGTGAATATTGTGTTCAAAATTATTTAAAAGATAATTTTTCAAATTGGACATCCGGAAATAATGATATTGATAATTTAATAAAAAATTGTCAAATGGAAACATTTGTACCTAGTACTATAATCGAATGGATCCCATATAATAATTTACAAAATATTGAATATTTAACAAGAGGTGGTTTCTCTGAGATTTATACGGCAAGTTGGATTAATGGAAATTATTATGAATGGGATTCTAAAGAACGAAAATTAATAAGATTTGGAACTATTAAAGTAATACTTAAACAATTAGAAAATGTTGAAAGTGCAAGTCAAAGTTGGTTTGAGGAGGTTTGTAATCTAAAAAAATTAAAGATATTTTCTTTATTTATAAGAAGCTAAAATTTGAAATCATTTTTTTATAGGCTAAATCACATTTGACTATAAGCAACAAATATCCAGAAATTGTTCAATGCTTTGGTTTAACACAAAATCCATCAAATAGAAATTATATGCTTGTGATAGACAAACTGGATGTAAATTTAAGAGAATATTTACAACAAAATCATAATCAACTTACATGGGAAGAAATAATTGAAATTACTTTTTTAATAATTAATGCACTTCATTGGATTCATAAAGAGAATTCAATTCATAGAGATTTGCATTCTGGAAATATATTATATTCAGTGTTTAATAATGCATGGTGTATTAGTGATCTTGGATTTTGTGGTCCTGCAAATAAATCATCAACATGCATATATGGAAATCTTCCTTACATAGCACCCGAAGTTATTAATGGAAAAGAATATACTTTTGAATCTGATGTTTATAGTATTGCAATGCTTATGTGGGAAATTTCATCTGGACAACCACCATTTATGAATTATGAACATGATTGTAATCTTGCAATTGATATTATTAATGGTATGAGACCAAAAATTATATCAGAAATTCCTTCAGAATATAAAAGTTTAATGGAACAATGTTGGGATGCTGATTCATTAAAAAGACCTGATATTGATACACTTAGAAGTAAAATGAATGAAATTATGTCATATTATCATAATAAACCAAATGAATTACCTCAACTAAAAACGAAATTGAATAATGTAACAAATAATAATATCAGTAGTAAACTATTTACAAGTAAAATTCATAAATTTGAAAGCCTACCTGAACCAAAAAATGCAACAGAAGGTAAAATAATTATTTTAATAATTATTCGCCATTTAATATTTTCGTTTCTATTTTTAATAATATCATCTTTTCTAATTTGTGAAATAATAGAAGAACAAGAAGGTAATATAAAATTGATTTTTTTTAGCTTTATTTATAAAATCAATAATAAAAAACCATTTTTATTAATAGCATTTCATAGTAAATTATATGATTTTAGTGTTCCTTATAATAGTAAGTTTATTAAAGTTATATTAAATATTTTCATCGTTTACTAAGAAATGTTTTTATTTTTAGTTGATGGTTTTGGCAAAGCAAATCGGAATACATCAAAAATAAGTAGTATTATCAAAGGTAATTTATTATTAATTTTAAAAAAGAATAAAATGAATGTTTATATAAAATATTTACATATTAATATTTTAAATTTTAGATGGTAGTAAAAAATTATCCAAAGTATTTAAAAAATTGCAGATTAGTTCAAAGAATGGCAAGTAAAAATTTAATAAATTAATTCTAATTCAATTTAATAATAATAAATAACGTTTTTATTAAATTTGATTCGTTTAATAATTTTAATAATCTTAATAATCACAGATAATAAAGATAACTATAATAAAAAAATAGCGTTAACACAAAATGTCAATAATGATGAAGGTAAGCAAATTATCTATTGAGCACCTTTTTAAATAATAATTTAACATTTTTTACCTTTGTTTCTATAGATGAAGATGAAGCATATAATAATCCAAATCTTCATTCAGAGGAACAAGATGAATTTGAAATTCCTGATGGTTCGTCTATTCTTTAATATTATTAATAATACAGTATAATAAAATAAAATTTTTTTATTTATTAATTAATTTATTTATTTATTTTTAGATGGATTTTAAACCGTTTTTACAAATCTTATTGATAGGAACATCGGTCAATTATTATTTTATTTTGAATTATTTAAACACTAAGATTAGAGTATTATGCAGTTTCTTTGTAATTTAATAATTTTTTTTTTTTTTATATTAAACTTAGTTGTTCATTTATTAAATAAAGATATTTACTACAAAATATTATGTGACGTTGCATGATTTGTAAAATATATTAATTTTAAGTATTAATATGCTATTTATTTAATAATTATTTTAATTAAAAAAGTTAATAATCTAACAAATAATATAAATTACTTATTCGTTTCTATAACATTCTCGCATCTTTTACATAATTCACCTTCTGTTTGTAAACATCTAGGACATTTAAATAAAGAAGCCCTTTTAATTATAATCTTACAAATCCAATCGGATAAATCAACTTCGTTAGTATATATCGAAAGAACAATTCTCAATCATTTCCAAGGACGAAGATATTGTTGCATCTGAAGTTGTAAAAATAGATTTTAAATCTAATAATTTAATACAAAAAGGATGATTAGAAAAATAAATTAAAGTTCTTTTAATGAACAATAATATATATTACATTACCATGATTTTGTAATAAATGTAATAATTCTAAAGAATTTACATATAATTCCACATTAATCTCTAAAGAACTTTTTATAAGCCTATGTAAATAAAAATTTTAAATGTTATTTTTTTTTAAAAAAAAATGGATAATCAAATAAATAAAACCAGCATACTTGTCTTTTCTGGCAGTTTCTAGTAACTGATTTACTTCACTTCTTAAATGCTTTAAAGTATTCCATTCTTGTTGCAAAGGTTGATTATTCCATTTTTCATTCTATAATAAGTGAATGTAATTAATTTTTCTTTTTTTTTAAAAAAAAAGAATTAGCAAAAATTAAAATAAATTACGTACCAATCATACCATCCTAATTTAAATACACTATAATATTCCTTATGCCCAATGTTTTTATAATTATCATAAAATTTATTTTGCAAAATACAGAACTATTGGTGATAATAATATATATTTAAAATATATAAAAAATAAACACTGATAGTAATTTTTATATAAATAAAAAATACAATTAATGATTATAACTTACATGATAAAGAACGGTTAAAACATTTCTTCTGCATTGACCTGTTATAATTATGATCAGCATATAATCCATCTTTATATCGAAATAAAATGCTGATAACAATACATTTGGGAGAATATTTAACGCTTGAATGGCTATTATTTATATTTATTAGTAAAACAATATTATAACTAAGAGGTTATTATTAATATAGAACGTTAAAAAAATAATATTTTCAAAATACCTTTATTAAAACGCATATTATCATAAATAAAAGATCTTAATATTTTTTCCAAGATTATAAGTTTCATGCAACATATATTTATCAATCTATTAATAAAAAACAATCAAATTAGCTTTTAATTACGACTATAAAATTATTAAATAAATTTACTAACCAAATCAAGTTCCTCATATTCAACTAATCAATTATATTTAAAATTATTTAAATTACCTAATATAAATCTTACTGTACTACGATATTTTTGAATATTTTTTCCAACTTGACTCATGATATTTTTTACTATATTAACATCATTAACATCTAATGATGCAACCCACAATCTTAATACATCTACTCCATATACTGGCTTATTCTATTATAATAAATTAATTAATAAAAAATATATATTTATTATAATACGTCGCTAATTATACTTACCTTTCCACCCTTAATTATGGTACCTAGGATTTATAACATTTCCCAATGATTTTGACATTTTTTTACTTTGTTCATCCATAACAAATCCATGTGTAATTAATGTTGAATATAGAGCTTTATCATTAATGGTAACTAAATAAAAAAAATTATTTAATTTAACTTGATCTAAATAAATAAATAAAATTTAAAATTAATTATTTACCTGATGTCAATAATACCATTCATGATGCTGATCACTTCCTTCCAAATATAAATCTGAAATTGTCTTGAAATCCTTTCTATAAAAATTAATAAATTTTCAGTAAATAAAAATTGAAATATATAAATACATTGTAAAATTAAATTTATTTACTTTTAGTTTGTTTCAAATAAAAGTCACTATCAAACCATACATTATCCATTGTATCATTTCCCTTTCTGTATGTTTTACTAAGATAATTTTAATAAAATGAAAATCAAACATTTATTTATAATTTAAAATGAAATTACTTTTAAAATTCTAATAATCTTAATTTAGTTATAACTACCTATTCAGGTACAAGTATTCAAGCTTCCACCATCCATCTGATCCATGTTTTTGAAGATTTCAATAATATATTCTACAGAAGAATCTGTTAACAGAGGAACATCTGTTTCTGATTCATAAAAAATGGGGATAAGAACTCCCCAAGATCTTTGATGTGAAATACACCATTCACTTCGTGATAAAGTGAATTGTTCTAATCGATATTGTGCTATAATAAAAAAAATAAAAGTGAATTTTATTTAATAAATTTAAAGTAAAAAATATATGAATATATAATGTATCTTACCAGATTTAGGTACCATTTTAACATCCTCAAGTAATTTAATGGCTCATTGTTTAATTAATAGCTTCAACATTGGCGAACCATTGAGATGTAGCTCATAATATAATTAGCTTCTTTACATAAGGATATTCATGCTTAAAATTTTCTTCTTTAATTAAACTATTCCTTGTTTTTTAAATATTCTATTACCACAAACATTCCATCTGTTTATCTCCAAATTCATCAACAGGACAAAATGGTGGATTTTTACAAGCTTCATAATCTTCCATTCCATGATCTGGTGCTATATGAACTAACCCTAAAAAAAAATTAAGGTTTTTTTAAGAATTGTTATAAATAGATTGCGTATATATTATATTTTTAATATCTATCTGTACCAGATTCTTTGGTAATGTGATAAACATCAATAATCTTACATTGTTTTCCCCTTATTGGAAGTATATAAGTCGTTCCAATAAGTTGCTGACCTAATAAAAAATTATTTTATTTTTTTAAATTAAATGAAAAAAAAAAATACGTAAAAAAAGTCAATAAAAATATATAATTACCTTTAAATGTAAATTTGATATTCAGTTCAATTCTGTTCCAAGAATTTTTTGTAATGCATCCAACCTTTTGGTTGCTATATATAATTATTTTGTGACATCGACGTATTATTATTTGGACGAACAATTGGAGTATTCTATATTTGGATTTATTGCAACAGCCTAAATTAAAAAATTTCATTCATTAGATCAAAATAATTAATAAATAATTGATTAGATAATTTTTTAAACCTGATTCGCAGGAAGAGTCCATGGAATAAACATCTATATTAGTATGTATAAATTATCTTTTAATCCTTCTTGCGAATTTAAGCTAAAAATAAATAAAAAAAAATATTATTAATTAATTATAAAACTATAAAACTTTTTAGGTGAAATACTCTTAATGTTTACTTGAATTAATCACAGAGAGCTTCAAATAAACAGATTTGCTTCAATGGTGGTCGTCACGATATTCTTAATTCTACTTCAGCTAAAGCTGTTTTAAATAAAAAGATAAAAGAACAAATTCAATATTTTATAAAACTAATTTACAAACATAAATTTACATTTTATGACTACCTTGAAGAAGGAAACCAATGTACAGGTTTATTTTGCCTGTGAATATATCCTTAAAAAAAGGTTTGTAAATCTCAATTTAAAACAAACCAACGTTGGTAAAATATTGATAATTTCTTAGGGTTATTACCTTTCTTCATCATGTTATGAAACACCTGTAGCTGTCTAACTTCATATTCATTGTCTAAAAACAACCTACTATTAAGAAAATACAATCCGAAAATCAAGAATAAGTTGTATAAATTTTCATACCCAAAGTTCTATAAGGATTTTTCCAAATCTCCCATTATGTCCAACTAATAAATTCTTTTCCTTGAATTTCTAATGCTTCTAAAGCACTTTTTTTTGCTACATCACGAATTTGTAATGGTGTCAATGATGATTTATCAATGCCCTAATCATTCTATCAGAACTTTCCTTATTATAATTAATGATAAAGCGAATAACAGTAATATTACTCTTAATTCCTTTAAAGCTTTTAATTCAATTGACAATCTCATCCTGGAATGTAAGTGAATAATATTAGCGTACATAAAATATATATGGATACAAAATATTTTTCTATATCAATTATGAAACTTACTTTACTTTATATCCATGTAATACTTTATAACGATTTATAATGTCTTTTAATATTTTATTTAACGCGTGAGCGTAATATAAAATTAAATAGATATTTAGATTTTATAAATAAATTAAAAAATTAAAATTAAATTGATGAAAATTACCTATGTGTAAATTTCCATTAGCATAAGGTGGTTCATCATGTAATATAAACGTTTCTTTTGGATTATTTTCTATCTAGTGATCAATAACAAGTTTAATGTCTAAAACAAAAAGAAAGAAAGAAACAAGTATTAAAAAAAAAGAAAAAAGAAAGTCTTAAATACCTGCCATTTGTACAAATCTTTAGAGCCTTGACCTTGAAATATTAACAGCTTCAGCCCTTAATGGAAAGTTTGTTTTTGATAACGGTAATAATAAAGTATCATTATACAATTTACTTAAATCATTATTATTTACTTTCAGTTACTTTTTTATTGAAGATTTGTCAATTATTTTTGAAGAAAATTTTTTTAATAACAATGTCCTTGAAAATTTTAATGTAATTTATTAGGAAAATAATTTCTTTTTCGTAATAAATTATGATGAAACATAATTAAGTTGAATTTATTAATCGAGAGGAAAAAGATCTCGTCGATCAGCAAAAAAAAATTTTTCACGACTGAAATAAATACTTGATTTATATTTAGTTGTACAAATTCGGATGTGATTTTCAATTTCCTACTGTAGAACGATGAACGTATCAACTTTTTTACACTATAAATTTTACATTCTGTATGAAAATATTTTTTTTTTAAAAAAAAAAATCCTGATTAAAGACATGCATATTTAAATTTTATTACAAATGGAATAATGCTTTATGGCCATTTTGATAAATTCATAAACATTCATTTTATTAAAATAAAATAACTGTTACTACATTATAATACTTATCAAACTAAGTCAACGGATCTTAATAAAAATTGAGATGCTAATAACAATTTGTACTTTAATAAAATATAAAAAAATGTAAAAAGAAAAATTTGACTAAAAAAATTGATTAAATGACTTATTTATGAAAAAGGGTATACTGCTACAGTATATAAAAGAATCCAAGTCTTTTTACGTTATTTAGGAATTTTCTCAATATTTTGGATTATGATGAATTTACCAAGCATTTACTAAGAATGTGGTGTTTATTGGCAAAGTATATTTACGGTTTCTTTCCAATCTTAATTGGTTTCTTTAAGTTTCTAAAAGTTATTACTAGTTCCAGTATGGATTCATAAGGATTCTTTAACTATCGCATTAACGAATACCTTAATATATAATATTTTCGTTTTTGAGTATAAAACAGATTTGTAAAATGTGAGAGCGAATAATTATAATGGTATAATGCCTTTAATTGATCTGAACTAGGTATTGTATTTGTATCGTTACAGAAGACACTGATTACTTCGTCTCGTGCCTTTTTTTTACATTTTCTATTTATTTGAACTTCAGTATATCAAAATTTAAATTAAATTAAATAAATATAATATATATATAATTTTAAAAAAATCACTTATTAGATATTTTGCAAGATAAACTCAATGACATTGAAGCTGCTAAAATAAATTTAAATGAGATGGGTGAGTAACAAATAATAATGTTCATACAAAATTTTCCTTTCCCTGCTATAGTTTACCATCTCATTTCTTAATTGTTTTATACCAGTATTCCTATTCACTAAGTTCTAACATATTTATTAATAAATCATAACCTTTATAAGGATTTTTCTTTATTTTTCATATTATCAAAAATGAATCCATCTAATTATTTCAATAGTATTTATGATTTTTTTGCTAAGTTCTAGTAATCTATTTATCCATGGAAATACTCGAAATACTCGATGGTAAGGAGATGTACTGTACTTAAAATGGCGGTATCTGTTCTGAAAAATTATTATGCCCAAGAAGTTTGAATGTAAAAGAAGAAATGTGTAAAAAAAAGGAAAAAGTTCTTTATAAATAATTTTTGCTGCAAAGCAAGATAGAAATAATATCGGTTTATCGATTTATAATCATTCTTTATCAATTGATCAGGAAAAAAATAACGTGAGAGTATCAGCAAGGTTCAGGAAAAAAGTTACATTATCTTTTTTTTTCCTTTCGTAAATGACGTAGCCATATATATTTAAAAATATTTTTCAGTACATTACATGTGGAAGCAATTTATCACGTAATAAAATTATCTGCTCCATTTTATGTTGACGTTGAAATTAACGAAAATACATTTTAACCATTCAATAAAAATTTTTATTGGCCAATTAAAATTAAGCAGCTTACTAATGAGAGGCATGTTTACTTTTTTTCACGATATGAGGTAAAATACTATCTAGTATTTAAATAATTTCATTAATTTCATTTCTTAATAACAAATTCTTTGATAAAACATTGAATAATAAGTGAAGACCAAATTTTTTATAGTATTTTCCATCACCATGCCAGAATATTTCAACTAGACAGCAAATTAAAGTAGTTATAAACATGACTAAATTTTTAATAAGTGCTTTTATATCATCATAATAAAAACTTAAAAATATTATTATAATAGGTACTGATAAAGAATATATTACAAATGTTATTGTCTTTGTAATTTTTTTACAACTCCTCCCTTCAACAACTTCAACAAAGTAACCAGTTATCATTAATAATAGACCCAACATAGTTGCTATCTCATCATTTTCCAAAAAAAACTCCACTCCCGACACAAATGAAACCAGTATCGCTATCAATAATATCTCAAGTATTTTTTCTTTTTCTTCATCACATAATCCTTCAATTAAGTAACCAATTATTAATGAGATAAAACATACCAAGTTTACCATATTATTAATACAAAGTACGTTTACATATACTATATCAATAAGTAGTGATGTTAGTAACATCATCTTAGGATAGTGTTTTAAATGTATTCATTACGTAGTGATTCAGGATTTCCTTTGTCAATAATTTAACGGATCCCTGTGTTAACTATCAAGAAGTTTGTTGTTATTTTATTTTTTTCTCGACTAAAGAATTATTTTCCAGAAGTTAAAATGTGAGAACTGTGTGGCATGTAAGTGAGATCCTTTAAAACTGGGGTGACCGGATAAGTATATATGAGAAATTCTTCAGTTCCAGCAGGTTTACCATTACAATATTTTAATCAACTGTTCTGCATGACAGAATTTTACCATTTCACACATTAATGGGTCATATGAAATTTTTACATCAGGATGTCAATGGTGCTGACTTTTACCATATCAGGTCATTAATGGTTCATTAAAATATGGTATATGACACAAGAGCGCAGTAATATGTGGCGCAGTTATACAATTTCTATCGATAAATAAAATGTCAACAACATTTGGACACAGAGTTTAACAATTCATTTTCTGGTTCCGAACTTGAATTTATTACTAATTGTTATAACTAAGACATTGACATTAAAAATCTGTTCTAGAAATTCATAAATATACATTTCCATTATAATTATTATTATTAATGATTTTTTTTTTTTAATTCGAAATATTAATATATCAAATTTTTATCATTTTAATAATGCCAAAAATAAATAATAATTGGATAAGCTATAACAGATAAATTATTTAAATTACAAACTATGAAACTTGTAAAATAATAAAAAAGAAAATAAATAAATAAATTGTGCAAAAATTATTTAGGTAATGGAGAGATAAATAAAATAAGTAGTATAATTTAACAACATTATAAAATCGAATATTTTGAAATCATTCCAAAAACAATTAATTTACTAAATATCATATTGTAATCAAATAAAGTTTAATAAAGTTTAAACAACAAATTCTAAGCTAATTATATACGTAATGTTACGATCATGTATATATATAAAGTTACGTAGTTTAACAGATGAACATTGCGTAGCATGTATTATAGCAAGTAACTCAATAAATTTATTTTACTCTCCTATTATTTTGTCAATAATTCCACATTTACTAAACTTTACAGAAACTTTTTATCAATTATTAGATAACTTTGACAATAAAAAAAAAAATTTAGAAAGTTTATTTTTACAGGGGTTTTAGGATAATATCTAAAAGTATAATCCAAATCTAAAGTCTATTAAATACAAACGATAAATGTGGATAACTAATAGTCCATATATTATATATTTTTAACGATATAATTACTTTATAATATTCATTTTACACTATTTATAAATTTATGTTACAAGGAAGGAGTGTCAAAAAATGACAAAAATTACATACTCTCTACTCTCTATCTTTAACTCTTTATATGTTTCTATTAATTTAATATTTTAATATATTTAATTACACGCCAAGTGACTTGATAGCATGTTCGTAAAAATCCATGTCAACATAGTATCTTGCAAGCAGGTTCCTTAGTTCATCTTGATTGCTGGGACTATTCGTCTCAGTAGCATTATCAACCTCTCTTTCCAAAGTACTTATCTTCGATTTTCTATCATTTTTCATTTTTTCTAATTCCTTTAAAAGTTTCTCCCTATCCTGCTTTATGAATACAAACCGTGTTACAAATCCGAATGGATTCGCTCTTTTACCACCAAAGAGAAAGGCAAATATTACCCAAATTGAAAGGTATCCACCTATATTACTGAAAAGGTCTGCTAGTTTGAAGGATGGTGCTTCAACCTCTTTTATAACCCTTTTCGGCGCTATTATTCCAATCGATATTACCTGCTCATCAACTTGGATAACATCAAAAGCATTTTTTATAATGAAAGTTTCGAAGCTTCGATATGTGTAACTTCCATCTAAAACTTGTCGACGGTCCTCTGTATATTGGAGAATCCCACCATCATTTAATATTTCAACTCCTACATCATTAAATATGTTTCCTTCAGGAATGAGGAGCGTCCAGTCCATCTTATCGTGAGTGTCACCAATAAAAATAACAATACTGGTAGAATTATTGCTCTGAAATTGTATGTGATAATATCCTCCAATAGTATCCTTTGGCTTCGATGATAATCTACCATCAAAAAAGTGGCATCGTCCATTATTTCCTGTAATAATACTAAATCCGTCGTTTAAACTGTAGGATTTCTTACGTTCCATAAAAAGTTCAATATCATTAAATCCATTAAAACTGTCATGATAATCTGCTGAAAGAAATATAAGTTCACTATCTGTGCTTGAGCAAAAAAGTATGGATGGAGAAATTGTGTTCGATTCAAACGTTGCTGGTAGTACGTTTGGGGGATCATGTATCATTTTATAGATACTGTAGAACGTGAGTCCTAATAACCCAGCAGTAAAGAGGAAGAAAACTATCATCTTAAGTATTCTTGTGTGAATGCTTCGAGTACTTTTACTAGTTATATGATCGATAATTTGTTGGCGAAGATGAGGATATTGAATGATTCGAACAATAAATATGAAAATTATAAAGGCCACGAAAATCATGGCTATCGCTATACCGGCCAAGCCGACGTAACCACCGAGAACCTTAAATAATCTAGAATCAGTAAAATTATCAGAACCATCCATATTGTAAACTTTTTTACTAACGAAAATTTACTATTATTTCTTTTTTGATATCTTTGTTATTTCCTTTAACATGATTTTTTGGTTTCTAGATGCTTGATATATAAGTAATAAAATTAATTCAAGTTGTATATGTTATTTTTCGATTATAAATTCCAAATAAAGCGATTACCCCTTAATCTTAAATGCATTAATTGTATTATGGAGTACAAACTACAAAGCGATTTAAAAATAGATGAAATTGGTTCATTCATTTTCGGATCTTTTACTTATTTGATCAAACCTTAAAAAAAAATTTTCTTTTTTTGGTAAAAACTTTCTCAAATGATTCTATAATGTTTGTTATATTGGCGGCGGATCTTTTGTTGATTTTATTTCCTTTTTAACTATTGTAAATTCCGATATTGTCGCCATCATGCAATGTTGATCAAAATATTTTAAGCCACACTGTTGAAATTATTTACTAGACAATAAAGTTATTCTTAATATTTAATACCACAATAGTAATTATTTTAGTGTACACAAGATTATGGTTTTTGTATAACACTGAATTCCCGAAGGTGCTTCTTGTCTCACAAATCAGGCAATCATTGTCCCACTAACGAACTAAGTGGAGCTAATTAATAAGCTGTTCTTGCCTATATAATTATCTGGATTGTGAAAACTAAGTTACCTTAGTTGTTGAAAGTAAAATTTTTGTGCAACAAATTCGTGAGATGATACGCAACATACGGGGCTATTTTTCACTCAATCAAGATAGTTTGACAATGATAGTAATTACTATAATGAACAATTATAAATCATGATTTTAACTCTGCAAGATGATATTTAATCATTTCCTGATATATGCAATGAAACTTTTTATACGCCACTTATTTTTTATATAAAGGAAGGATATCAGTAAAGTTTCGGGACACTAAGTTTCGGAAATTTTAAGTTTCGGGATATTTGGCAAAAAATTAGCCGAAATAATTGCCGGCAAATTATTAACACGTGATATCAAATCGGAAAAAATACTATATTACTTTTTTTACTAAATATTGCAAAATACCAAAGTTAAAATTAAATGAACGCTTATTATGATGGCTAATAATTGAAAAATTCTTAGAAGATTTCATTTTAACTCCACTATTTAGTGACCTTTTTCTTTGGAATTTCTTTTATTAATAATTTAACGGATCACGTTTATTACCGAACACATTGTTGCTATTTTATTCTGAAGTTCTCAAAATAATTTTCCCAACTGCTTAAAGTTAAAATGTGAGAACCGTTATGGCTTGGAGTGATCGGGTTGGTATATACGAGAAATTCTTTGTCCCAGCAGGTTTGTCATTATAAGGAAGAGGTGAATCAATAATTCTGCATGTAAAATTTGCCATTCCATGCGTTAATGGTTTTGTGAAAATGTTAATTTACTACATCAAGACGTCAATGTTGAATGTTCCATAAAACATGGTATATGTCACACAAGCGCAACAAATTTTGGCGCGTTTATACAATTTATAAACTGAGAATTTAAATTGATTATCATATCCAGATTGCGGCGGAATTCAATAAACCGGATCATAAGTAAAATTTTGATATAACGAAATTGAGGTCTAGAACGAACCATAATAATTTTGTTCCCAATATAACGAATTTCTCGATATAACGGATTTTTGAAAAATCTTGTTATTGGAACGGACACGGTCCGGTATATTGAATTTCATTGTGTATTATCTATTTGATAATAAAGACAAGTGAAAAAATGAAAATACGCCGATCATATATTAAAAATTTATATATATTGGGGCATCAAATTCATTTTCTTGATTCTGAACTTGAATTTACATTTACAATAACTAAAAAATTTGGTGTTAAAAAAAGTTTGTTCTAGAAATCTCATTAGTATATTGAGAATATAGGCGAATGACATAAACGATTAAATCCCTATCATTATTATCAAAACATGATTTTTTAACTTAATATTAATATGATGACTTTTTCAACGTATTTAATAATACTGGAAATAAAGTAAATTTTATTTAATAATTGGATAGACAATAAATAAAAAGAATTATTTAAATTACAAAGAAATTTTAAAGACATTTCAAGACTTTAATCTTAGTGTTTAAACAATTCTAAATAAAATAAAAAAAAAAATTTAATAAATGGGTAGATTATAAGAATATATATATAAAAAAGAATTATTAAATAAATAACAAACTAAGAATCTTGTAAAAGAAACAAAAGGTAATGACAATAACAAACATCATAATATAAGTCTTTCATAAATACAGTTTACAACTTTTTATTTCCTATAATATTTAATCAATTAATAACAAAAGAATTAATTCAAATAAAATAATTGTACAAAATTATCATTATTTATAGTACATACCTAATTATTTTATTCTTCACTCTTCCAAAATTTCACTATTTAGATTTTCATTTAGTTTCTTGCAAGTGAAACTTAATAAACGACTTGTATGAAGTGCTTGTGAATTAGGTTTAAAATTTATTTCCAATTGATGCATTTATAAATTCCATAGTATGATAATTAAGATTGATTTAGATTAACCCGTATAAATAATTTTGAATTGTGCAACGCGTGATTCGTCTGCGCCTGATCTATTCCATGATTTTTATGCATAAGTAGGAGCATAGTATTTTATTTTATTTTGATAATAAAGAGCTAGAGAGGTAATGTTCTCAATTAATTCCTTGCAAATTTCGTTTTAGGTTAAAAAGACCATTTTTGAAAAATACAATTTTTTTGATGATCGGTAAATGATCATGTGACTTTAAATGAGACTTTCTCAAAATCACGTATTGTGCTGCGATATTATTTATTAGTTTCCGGTAACTGGCGTTTTACTAATATAAAAAGTATAAAATTAAAAAATTTTTTGTATGTGAAATATACACTTTATTATTTTTATAAAAGTAATTTTATTCTATGAATTCGCAATGGATATTTTAATAATAAATTTTTTTTGTATGAATTACATTTTAATAAAAAAGATTATTTCTATGTATTAACAATTATAAGCATAAGCATAGGGACTATGCATCAATACGACAATCACAGTGATGATGATCATCCTTACACCTAATGTTAATTGGGCACGAATTGTGCGACAATGTCGGACTCTTCATTCCGCCGTTCCGAAAGTTTAAATAATTATGATTCACAAATATCTCTCTTTTTTTCTCTTTGTCTACAATATGTCATGTTCAAAAATATTTTCGGAAGATTTGCCCGAATTAATTTATGGGATCTTAAAATATTTTCAGAATGATTATTCAACTTTACACTCATGCATTTTAGTTAACAGATTATGGTGTCGTTCAGCGATTCCATTATTATGGGAAAATCCATTTTCAATTCCTATCAAAAACTATAATTTTATTATAATTTACTCACATAATTCAAATAGTGATTTTAAAACAAAATTAATTGAATATAAAATTATTAATAATAATTCATTACCTCCGAATACATTGTTCAATTATCCTAGTTTTTTAAAATATTTGAGAATAAATAATAAGTTTATTTATTCTGTTCGAAATTGGGTTGGAAATGCTATTAGAACTTCAAACCCCGGAAATTTATCACTCTTATCTGATTTTGAAAGAAAGGTTGATATATTCGTATCATTATTTAAAATATTTATTGAAAATGAAATCAAATTACATACCTTTGAAATTGAGTTCTCAAGGATTGCTTGTGTTTATACATATCTTAATAATATTTTGGAGTTAATTTTACAAAATACAAATTTCATCCACAATATTAGAAATATAAATCTTTTTGTTGGTAGTAACTCATCTGGTATAATTCCCAATGCTAATAAAAAATATAAGTTAATTAAAAATAATCTATCCCAAATAATTAATTTACAACAAAATCTTAAAAAGATTTTAATATATAATGGTAGCTTTCCTTTATATAGACCATTATTATTATCAAAAGATTCTAATTGTTCAAATACCTTAAATACAATTACATTCTACAAAATCAATTTGGATTGTTTGAGTAAGAACATATTCGAACAATTAAATGTTTTAGAATCTATTCATTTCCTTTATTGTTATTCTTTAGGTAATAATTTTATTCAACAAATTAATAATTTGGCTAAACCATTTAAATTGAAATCTTTATTTATAGAAGGGGAACTGCAACAATTTGAAACAATGGAATTATTACAAAAATCTGGCAAATATTTAGAAAATTTTGGAATTGTACTTGATATTTATGGTTTAATATGTTCATTATATGAACAAATTTTAGTATTAATTACAAAATATTGTAAAAATATCAAATTTTTTGATTTTCGTGGACCTGTAAGTCTAAGTACTTATCAAATACTTAATTTGGTTGAAAATATCCAACAAAATCTCAATTATCTTACAATCGATGTATGGTATGATAATACTGGTTCTAATAGTTCAACGATATTATTACATTTAGGATATTACCTTCCTTCTAAACTAGAATATTTATGTTTTGATCTTCATTACATTAAAGCAAGTTGGTTTGAAGAATTTCTAAGACAATCTCAACATACTTTTATTAAAAAATTATTAATCAATAGCAGTGAAGGTCAAGATATCTTGCCCTTTATAAAAGAATATATCATGAAAAAGAAAAGGGTTAAGTATTTGGCTATTAGTGATTCTTCCCGTGAAGATACATTTGATAGGTATAGTCATAATGTTAAGGAGATTTGTTCAATGAAATATAATGAGGTGAATAATGTTAAGGAGTTGTTTTCACTGAAATATGAGGTGGATGAATTTAGGTTATATAATATTGAAGTGCAAAGTTATTTGAGTTTAAAGATTAATTCGTATAATTATATAAAGGAAATTAATTAATAGGGATATTCTTTTATATACAGTAAGTTGTTTATAAATTCCTACATATTCTTTAGTTATATTTATAGATTTATGTTTATATATTTAAAGTAATATTAACATTCTTTATTTAATATAATTTTTGTTTAACACTGATTATTAGAATATATGTAAAGTTATTTACTTATTTTAAATAAAGTTGTTTATTCATTATTGTGATTATCAAGAAATTTTTATTATACATATTATACTTATTGAATAAGTGTCATTATACGTACTTTATTTATGATTTACATCAGTGTTGGAAATTCAGATTATTTTTACATGCACAGACCGCACATTATTTCATAAAAGTTTTGTATAAAGTCATATATAATAGATGGGTCCATTTCCTATAATGGATTTAATATCACATATTTATATTTTATAAGTTATAAATAACCAATATTTCTTTATAAATAATTAACGACAATAAATAATTCCGCCCTTGTATATTATTAAGGAGATGTGTTACTACGTTTTTCTACATTGTGCATTTTTAAATTTGCAATTGAAAAGTAGAATTACATTAGATTAATTTTTTTTATAAAAAAGATAAAACAAAACAAAATAAAATAGTGTTAAGAAACTTTGTGCTGGTATAAAGGAATCTTTATTTAATTTAGATTCATATAATACAAACACAATACTAGACATTTTAAATTTCAAGTGAATTAGTATCATGCAACTTAAAATATTTACTGTCGATTTCTGTCTTTGTAAATAAAGAATATTTTCTTTTGTTATTAATATTAATAAACTGAACTCTTTTAAAAACTAGGAAACGGAAACCGTTGTAAGTCAGAGTAAAAAAAGATAAACTTAAAATTTGCGATTTCATAAGTCGATGACGTGAAGGGACAGAGAAATTTACAAGATCGATCATAGTGCAATGCGTAGATAGTCCTTCTCTTTGTAATCCAATTCATTATTGACGCAGAACAAGTAACACCCTATAAAAAAATTGGATACGTTTTTTATAAAGTTTTTATACGATTTTTTTTCCTTAGAAATAACGTATCATAATAGGATACGGAAAAATGCACAATTCCGTATCACTAAAAATATGGTTT